CAGGAGAAGGGGGAAGGAGGTCCAAGAACTGGACTTGCATTTATTTGGCGGCAAGAAATTTCTTATACCTGTTACTGGTCGAGTGGAAGGGTATATTGTAAGTTTCAAAATTAAATAAATTAACTGTTGCGGCATTTAAAAATCTGTATAGTTCTCTAGTCATTACAATCCTGTTTTCCAATAGTTAAAAGAAAATTCACCCAAATAACTTAGCATTGTTTATAAAGAATAACCCATAATTTCTAACAAGAGAGTAAATAGTGGGTATCTCATAGTCGTGGCATATTGTTCTTCTGCTTTTTTTTATTTGGCTTCTTTGGGAACTTTCCTTTCATATTCACAGTCCACTTAACACGCGCGTCGCAAAATGCGCCTCAAAACACAAATGAGCAGAGTTCTGCGCATGCGTTGCTGATGTTGCTGTTGCTGATGTTGCTGCTGCTGCTGCCGATGTTGCTGCTGCCCCAACGGTGGCGATGGTAACCTCAGAAAATCTGTGCTGGCGGCACGCTTTGATGTTCGGAATGGCGTGTGCCCCAATGCAGAGATTTTCGCTTTGTTCTTTCGCCGACTTTGTCTACGTCTTCGTTGTTGCCGGCCAACAACAGTAACATCAACGCCATGCAACAGCAATTTGCCGCCAAGTGGACCGCAGCAGCATTGGAACATTGGAGCGTGCGATCCGAGAGAGTGCCACCAGAAAGTTGTTGCCCCTTGGCCAAGTGTAAAAACCATTTCAGCCATCTCTGGCGGCCTTTGGGAGTCACATAGAGTTGAGCACTTGACTGCGCTGTCAGATATTACAAAATCCACGGATCCACGGGGGTGATATGGGTGATTAAAGAATTTTGGTATTCAAAAAGTATGCAACAAAAAATTGCTCTGACATCACCGGTAACCTCAAGCTATAATCAGCCCAATTCCATTTAATGTTTAAAATCCAATAAAATTATTTAAAATAGAAAAAACGCAGAATAACAGAAAATATTTGTGTTTACCGGAATGGGGATTGAAATCACGACCCGGACGACATTAGCTATCAAATATTTAATGGCAAGAGTCATTTACTCCCTAGGCTAGCCTTTTAGAAGGTTCTTGCGAGTAGTGTCATACTCATTAGGAAAATATTTGTACTCAAGTTGGAAATTAAAGAACATGTTTCCTACACCCAGAAAAAAATCCGTTCGAAACGTTCAAAAATCAAGCCCAAACGGGGTCAAAAAGTGCGTAAGCCCGTTTGTTGTCAGTTCATGAACGCTTGTTCATAAAATTTCACCGAAATACTGGCATGCTTTGAACGAATGGGGTCACTTTTAGAACATATTGGTGTTGAATTAGGAAGATTTGGGAACAAACGTTCAAAATGTGAGAACAAAAAAAGGAGAACGGATTGTTCGCAAATCATGAAAAATGTTCTTGATTTTTTTCTTTCTTTTTTTTCTGGGTGTAAAATTAAGATTTTTATGATCAATTCAAGTTCTTTTTCTAAAAGTGAGTTCAATTCGTACTCAATATAAGTTGTTTCCCAAAATTTGTACTCATAATCAGTACATCCTGAAAATGAGAATACAAATACTCAATTTCAGAACGTCAGAATTCTCTCTGTGTATCCTATTTTAATCTTTTAAGTTTCTATCCTTAGTTTCTATCTTATCGCTTTTAGTGTTAAATTATATATTTTCTTAATTATTAAACGAGTAGTTCAATTTTTCTTTTTTTAAAACGAATCAAATGAAAAATTTTCGTTTTAAATAAATTAGAAAATAATCTATTAAAGCAGATAATAAAATTCCCTCAAATTTCCTTGAACTCCTGGTGAACAGCCAACATCACTGACCTCCATCAATCGAGAGCAATGCAATTATGATCGCTGGCCGATGAAATTAGAGATGCCCGCTCTGCCAGGCGATGAGTAATTCAGCTGCAGACTGGAGATTGGATGCTGGATCCTCGGCGCACCTGTTGCGTTTCCCACAGTGCGGCGATGCCGCTTTGCTTTTCGCAAAAACGGGAACAGTTGCGCGGCGGATCCTGGAATCTGGAATGGAAAGGAAAGGTAAGGATCAAAGGACGTGACCGTGACTGGGCCGAAAACGATAATAAAGTTGTGCATTAAATGAAATTTTAATTGCTTATCGGCGACCAGCGATCCGGGAGCCCATCTGTTGGGATTAGAGCGGCCGAATGGCCGACTCGATTGATGTCAAGCGATGTCGGCGCTTTGAAGATTATGCCCAAAGTTATGAGGCTGAGCGACTGGGTCTGAGGCTCCGTTTTCCAGGTGCTCGGGGTGATGAGATCGGCCTATGCGAAATTATATAGCTCAGTGGTAGCGATGTAGCAGCTTTAACTACGCAGTGGCAGTTGCTTCTTCGGCGTCCTCGTCCTCATCCTCATCCTCGCCATCATCATCATCAACATCATCTTCTTTGGCTGGGGCATCGCAACAGCTGGCGCTGCTGCTTGCCGCTTGCTGCTTGCTATTTGCTGCATGCGGCAAAAGATGAAACGCGGCGGCAACACTTTGATGCGGCCAAGATCAAAGCCGCCGATTGTTTACATAATAGTGGCCTTTGAAACGGAACAATAGAATGCCAGGATCAAAGACACCGACCAGTTTACCCGGTTAGTGCGCTTAAGCGAAATGAATGTCCATGTCCGTCCGCCCGTGATCTGTTTTCCTGCCCCACACCGCAAAAAAATCATGATTACATTTAAGAAATCAATTCGTTTGAAAAACAATGCATCGCAAAGCGTTTCTTTTAAAGGGATGGTTTCTATTTTCAGTTCACCTGGGTTTTTAACAAAGTTGATTCTTTCTGAGTTATATTAAATGTCTACATTTTGGTCAACGTTTTTTTTCAGTGTGGTAAAAGTACAATAGGAATGCCATGCTAAAGTAAATTAACATTTAAAGTTAAGTATCGCAAATAACAGTTTTTTAGGTACAAATTTACAGACTTAAAATTGCTATTAAAAAAAATAAATATCAAGGCAACTCGTAATACTACGTTAATTGTTTTTGTTTTTGTAGTTAATAACTATCTAGTTAGTGGTTTCCTTTATTTAATATAATTTTTTTTTCCAACTAGTCAAATAACTGTAACTTATATATAATTTTTATTTTCAATTAATCGAATTATCTAATACCTTTTTTAGTTAAAGATGAATTGGTGACCAGAACTTTTTTTTAGTAATCTGCAAAGTAGAATATTTTTCCTCGTAGTAGGATAATAAATGTGGAATAAATAATATCAGCGGACAGGAAAAATTCACTTTAGTATGCACACAATAGTTAATATTTTTCGAGAAAGATAACTTGCTTGTAAAATTTTGTTGTAATTACACGAGTCAAAATTGATCAAATGAATAATTTTCAAAACTGAAAATTAAATCTTAAACACGAAAAGTTCAACAGGTCAAACTTAATATTTCACGGTGCAGTAAAAGTAGCACTCATCATCACAGCCAGATGATCATCCCGATGGCATTATCATCATGGAGTGTCTTTGAATTTGTGCTGCTGTAATTGCTGCTGAACGGCCGAAGGAGTTGCAACTGCTGCTGCTGCTGATTGCGCGTCAAATGTTTATGGCATTCATCGCGTGCTGGCGGCGTTTTAATTGCCCGAACGGCACAAGCGCCTAGTGGATGAATAGTGGCTAGTGGCCACGCTGCGTATGAGCAATGCGAGCATCAATAATCTCCTGAGATGCTGCCGCCGCCGTTGTCGCATAATAATTGCGTGTACTTAATGCATAAATATTGCACTGAATCGGACTGGTCGGCCAAGTCGGCTCCTTTCTATTTGCCACTTTTAAGTTTGCCGCCGCCGTCGCCGCCAGTTGGACATCATTTTTTCAGACGCTGTTTTTTTCATTTTTTTCCGCTCTTTGCCTTCTTTCTTTAGGCCTACAATTTCTATTGGAGCAGCGCTGCGGCGGCGAACAGCTAAAATCAATTTGGTCAGTGATAAAATTTTTGCAAAAGCGAATCAATTTTATAGCTGGTCCGGGGTGTCGTGGTGTGGGGAAAAATCGTAAAAGTATTTCGATTTCGGGGCCAAAACGGCGAAAATCAAAAGGCCCCGAAAAAAAAGAATTTTTAATGATCTGTCATTAATTGAGTTTCGCATACGCATATATAGAAAAGCGTGGTCAGGGTCCGCAAAATCAGGGGGGATTTGCCTTTAGATTTACAATTAGATAAAAGTCGCTGGCTACTTTATTGAGATTTTATGTCTTTAAGCCGCATCCGAGCAGCCGAATGTCCAGGGCCATATCAAAATTGCTCCGTTTCCACGAAATGCCGACATATATGCCATAAAACACAAAATGGGCCAGCCGAAAAAATAAAAACCGAAAACAATATAAATATATGTGTGTATGTGCGATGAGCGAATTATGAGAGCTTGCATTATAATTGCAATTACACTAAATTAGCATTAAACGAACGGAAAAGGCGAATGCAGAAAACAAAAGACTTAGGCAACGAACTCGAACTCGAGCGGGAAGACCAGAAGCGAATTTCATTTCGGCTTTCGATTAAGCAGATCAAAGGGAACCTTAATACGGTTATTAACAAGTAGCTGCTGCCTCTGCTGCTGCTGCTGCCTCAGTCGACGTCGCAGTTGCAGCGCTTTCTGCTTTCCGCGATTCTCTCAAACTGCATTGCCCTGCATTTTATTATTAGTTTTGTTATTATTTTGCGTATTCTAAACAAAAACGCAGGCGGACAAATGCCGCCGAGAGGAAACGAAAAAGAGCGAAAGAGACACGAGAGTGAGCGGTAACACGTGAGAGAGCGCCGACGTCGACAGAGGCAGCGACTGCGACTGCGGCGGCAGCAGCAACTTCGGCATCCACATCCACATCCACGGCGCAAGGTAAAATTTCATTCCGTGGCGAGCATTCGACGTGAGCGGACGTTTTGAACGCGTGTGCCGTGCCGCAGATAACGAGACATCGCAGTGCTATCACCAGGAACAACAAAAAAACATCAAACTAAAATCGAAAACGAATCAAATACATTATTTCACAGTTAAACGACAAAAGCCAAATTGATTGAAATACCCCCAGACCCCGCCAAACAAAACGAATTCAAATCACAACAAGTTGATAAGTGCCAAAACAAAAGTCAATACCGATCGCATACAATGCAGCGCCCCAAAAAGTGCTCAGAACTGTGCTGAACAACAACAACAACAAAACAAACAGCAGAAAATCTATATTTAATCCATACTATAATACTATATCCTATGTGTAATCGAATCGAAAATGGCAGCCGAACAAATCGCTAAAATGGCAGCTAAAGCCGGAGAAGCTACAAATAAATGGATTAAGCCCCAGCAGGTGAGTTTTCAACGCGAAAGTCGAACACCGAAATACGGTAGCTCAGAGATGAATTATGGAGATGCTGCGGCATCGGCGAAATATTATACAAAGAAAACGAATACGAATATAATCGAAGGGGGGATATCAAAAGTTGCCGCTTAAGCAGAAAACCAAAAAATACAGTAGCACGTCAATTAAAATTAATAGCTTCCGACTTAAGCCGCTGGCCAAGTTGTGAGAACTCGGCCGAGAACCCAAAAAAACCGAAGCCGAATCCGAAACCGAATCCGAAATCGAAAACCCTCTACAGCTTTATTTACGACATTAGCATAGTCGGGTGAAATCAATTTGAAAATCCTTTGCAAGGGCATAAAAAACGAGATTAAATTTGCCTGCGTGCGCAAAAAGCCACAGAAAAGACGGAAAACAAAAACAGCAGAAGAAAAATAAGCAGTGCGGCAAGGGGATCGGGGGATTGGGGCACTGAAATGGGAAGAAAACAAAAAGGCCGACAGAAATGAGCGGGGAATGGGACTTTAAGTGTAGCTAACCAAAAACCCTCATCAGCAGCAGCAACAACAAAGTGCAGGCCGCCTTCGTGCGCCCCACTTCGCTCGAAGTCGAGACCCCATATCCCCAGCCACATCCACATCCACTCCACTCCTCAGTCGTAGTAGCTACTGTTTTCAAAGTTAAGATCAATGAGTGCGACGACGACGACGATGCCCCGGCTTTTTGTAGTTGGCCCGAACGGCACGGAGAATAATTTTCTTAGTTTTTCAATATCAACTTAGTAGAGAGATATAATATTATTCCAATCTGGTTAATGTTTTTTTTTGTAAATGTAAATTTTTCAAATCAAATTTCTTCATAAACGCAATACTTGGATTTTACGTTGCTCTTCCATATTTTATTTAAGAGAATTAACTATTGTAATCAATTAATTAAGAGTACCGCAAATTACTGTCTTAAATATTTGTATTTTTTTATCAAACATATTTTGAAATGCATATAAATATTAAATACTTTAAAAAGGTATAAATGAAGAACAAAGTCGAATAGGGACTTGAATTTTCATAATCCAGGTGAAGAGGATCCGATTTTTTTCGGTGTCTTGCTGGCCAGCTTCGATCTGCTTTGCAACATGCCGCAAACATACACGAGTCCATGGGCGGCAAAGTACAAAGCCGAAAACGGCACGGGTTTAGCGCGCTCGGAGTAAAAAGCGATCAGCGGGCAGCAGCCGCAGCGGCAGACGTGCGCACATCTACAGATACAGATACGGCCACATCCACAGATACAGATACAAATACGGCAGAGACACAGATACTCAGAAACTCAGATCTGGCCGGTCGGTCTAATAACGCTGCTGTTGGCACTGGCTACACGTTTCGGCGGCTTCGCTTTTGTTGTTGCCGCTCTACCGCTTCATTCCCATTCCCATTCCAATTCCCATTCCCGCTGGCCTGCGGCTTCATTTGAGGCTGCTTCCGAATTACCTGCGCCTTTTGCCATGCCAGCAATGCAGTAGCAACGCAGCAGCAACAGCAACAGCAGCAGCAGCAAGGCAACAGCAACAACAACAGCAAAACCCTGCCATAAAAAGTATTAAATTGTCGCAAACAGGTGTATTTTTATGCCCGGCAGGCAGAAAACAGAAACCATAAGGCGGATCGTTCAGGTTTTCTTTTCGGGAACTGCAATTATGCGCGCCTAGGCCATGGCTTTAAGTATTCTAAAACTTTGCCACAGGCAGGCCTGCCTATGAAAAAATAAAAGCGCAATTCAGGTCAGACCCGGTGAACAAATCCATCTTAGCCAGATGTCCAGAAATAGGCAGGTAAGAGAGGCAGAAAATTATAATGGGAAATTATTTATGACAGGGTCCTCTTAAATATTACTTCTCCTCAAAGTATATTTTTTTTAGCATTAAACTTTCTAACAATATAAAAATGCTCCTGATTTGAACAAACGTGAAATTAAATTATTATGTTAAACTTAATTTATTTTGTTAATAGAGTTTGTTACTTAAAAAGTTAATTTAAATTTACTTTTTTTAATTTTAGCTAAATCACTATTTATATTTTTTTGACTATATATTTTTGATGATTTGAGGAACGGTTAATTTGCTGGTTAGATTTCTGATTCCGATAATCATTGCTTCAACTTATTCTCCTGGTTGCGCTAATACAATCGTGTACATTTCTTGATGTATGTCTGTACATATATTGATATTTTGTTTAAACTTTTTTTTGTATTATTTGCTAAGAACGCGCTCTCTTTCATAACGATTTTGGTTACGCGCGCAAACTGAAGCCATTGAAGCCGGCAAACAACAGAGAAACCGGGACTGAGACAGAGATATGGGGTATGGTGAAAGGGACGGAGAAACGCAAATCAAACAAACTGGCAGCAGGAACAACAACAACAACAATTACAAAGGCTAAAACAACAATAATAATAACAACAACAAGTGCCATGAGAACGGCAACGGAAGTTTATTTATGCCCCAGACCCCGCTGTTTATTTAAGCGTATTGCGATAAGCTGCGAGTGACTGAAAAAGCGCTCGTCCGTTTGTAGTTGTTGTTATTACGGTTGGTGTTGTTGTGGTCTCTGTTGTTGTTGCTGCTGCAAGTGCGCCAAGAACAACAACAGCACTGGAGTGAAGCTTCCTCCACTTTTAAGATCCATGCGTCGACGGCCTCCCTTTGATTTGGACAAGGTCGTTATGGATTGTGCTTAGTTAATTCTACATACAGTGGAACCTCAATAAGTCAAACCGCTATAGAACGTTTTTACATTTATTTTTTTACATAATATTGCCAATGAAAATTTAACAACCATTTTTTAAAGTTCGATTTGTATTCATTTTCCAGATTACTTTGTTTATTTTTATTCTATATTCACTCTATGGCATTTATTTAGTAAATTTATTATTTCACTCACAATTCATTGCTCAAAATATTTATGTAGCCTTCGTTATCTTTCTTTTTTTAATACCACATTTTATAAAAAATGAATACTCTCATAATTCATTGTTGAAAATATTTTTGTAGCCTTTGTTATCTTTATTTTTTTAATCACACATTTTAAGATATTTTCTTAACTAAATCAAAATTCAGAGAATGGTTTAACTTGCAATCTCTAACCTAATGCAAATTGCAATTCGATTAAAAACACTTAGAGGGGCGCACAGTTTCAGTCAATTGCCACCGCAATCGAATCAAATGGAATCAAATCAATTCCAGTCACAACGGGGCGTATACTCAATTTTTTTTAATAAATGAAAAAAGCAAAAAAAAATAAAGAACGCTTAGCGCCATCGCGTCGCAAACGCGACCGAGTATTTGCAGCAATTAATAAAAACTGACAATATAATCGGCGCGACAAGTAGTTGGCTGCCAGCCAGCCCCCAGACATTCGATTCGAATCGAATCGGATCGAGCAGAATAGCGCTCCTTTGTCGGCATCGCCACTTTGGGAGGGGAGTGAGTAGGAAAAAAGAAAATAAGGCAAAATATTAATAAGCACTGCCCGCAATTAATAGCGCAACTTAAGACTCTATATAGGGTAATTAAGCGGCGCTTGTGAACATTTTTCCTTTGGCCACGCCGCCTCTGTTTTTGTTTTTTGTTCGTCGGCGCTGCCGTTTTTTTTGTTTTTTTTTCCCCAACAGGTAAACAACAAGTGCAACGTACGCTCACCCGTATCTCTCGGTGTATGTGTGTCTGTATTTGTATTCGGTGTTTGCTCAAACGTAAATCTGCGCACGCACACGTGAAATCTTTTTATTTGTATTTATTTTACTTTTTTTTTTGGGAGTTTCATTTTGTGGTCGCAGCTCAGTCGTTGGCGCAGTTGAACTAATCAACAATGGAAACTACTCATCTAATTTTTTTGGCGGCAAACATCAGACAACGAGCGTCTAAAATACCTAAACCTGTTGTAAGAGACGTGCAGAGCGGTCTGAAAGGGGGGGATGGGGTGAGAACTAGAAGAATGGAGCGAAATATGTATGCCCATAAAAAAGCTAAATCAAAGGGAACTTTTCGAATTTTAATATATTGACAAATAAACTGAATTTAACTTTGTTTGTAAATAAAAATATAGTTAAAAAGTTTTAAGTTATTAAAAAACGAAACATTTTTTATTTTATTTACGAAACACTTACGAAAGGAAATTGTATTACACGGTTTTACTAAATATATTTTTAATCGAATACGAAATAAATTTATTGCTTTCGTAAATCAAGCTTCTCTGCAACTTAATTCGAATTTATATAGCATACTGTCAAATAAAATCAATTCACTATTATTAAAATGTTATCAACTAAGGTATTTGTCAATGATTTTGTTAAACCTAATTTATCTGAATTCAGATTAGGTCTTCCTGCATAATGCATATTTCATCCGAATCTGGGAACCAGATTGGGGAGTTTATAAATAGCTGAGCCACCGATATCGGGGCATATAATGACTGCTGGCTGGACGGCTACCGTTAGACCACTTCGAACACATTTCAGCTTGGCCAGGCCAAATTATACTTTGTAGGCCTTTGGCCAATATAATTGCCAGAGTGTTTTCGTTTCGTTTCGTGTTTGTGTCATTTGCATTTTGCTGTCTGCAAATTGTCGTTGCTGGCGGCGGCGGCAGCGGCAGGAATCGGCGGACTTCAAAGGCCTGTATAAACATTGATTGAAGATTTCTTTACGATTTCTGAATGGTTATTTATGCGGAGGCAAGACCGTAGACAGAATTGACAGACTGACACACTGAGACACTAAAATCGTTGCCGATGTTGTCGGCAAATGTTTTTTGTTGTTTTGGTTGTTGTTCTTCTTATTGTTATTGTCATTTTTTTTTACTTACAAATTGCTGGAAAATAGCTAAACAAAAAAAGCAGACAGCTCAAGTTGAGAATCAGCGAAACAACAAAACAAATCGCCAGATAGCTCATTTGATTGATGTGTGTGATGATGTGTGTAAAGCAAAAAAAAAAGAGTTAAAAAAAACAAACCAACAACAAAGCGACCTTAAGTTCAAAGCCAAGAACTGCTGATTACCACGCGTCAGCGGCCATGACAATGTGAAATTGAAATTTGTTTGACTGGCAGTGGGACTGGCCCACGGGGCGTATGATTAACAACAATTTCTTGCCATGTTTGACTAAATACTTTGAGGCTGTCTCTGTTGTGTTTCTCTCTATGTAAAAAAAAAAAAAATAAAGGGAAAGGGAATGGGGGTAAAGTAACACAACGAAACGGCAAGCGGCAAAAATTTCTTTGATCTTATCGCAAAGCTTCTTGCTCGCATTTTGATCAAAGCGAGTTTTTCCGCCAAAAACACACCAACCTCAACTGGTCACGAGAGAATCGAGAGTTTCTTTGGCCCAAAGAGAGCAGCATCTCTGTTATTATATTGTAACGCAATTGAGAATCAAAACTACAGCAACTCTTTTCGTTTTTCTTCTCTTCTCCAGATAGCAACGCCACTGCTAACGCTTCTGCTCTTGGCCACGTTTAGTCAGCTGCCAACTGTGCGCAGCAGCAGCAGCATCTTGGATGCCTCCTCCAGCCTTCAGGACAAGGATCCCCTGCGGGAGACCAGCATGAACATGATCCAGCGCAACTACATGGTGATGCACTCGGCCAGCGGCTCCGGGGACCACAGTCGCTCCCTGAAGCGCGCCAACCTGGCCAACTCGAGCATCACCTGCAACGACGGCACCCACGCCGGCTTCTACTTGAGGAAGCAGCCCAGCTCCAAGAAGTGGATCGTCTTTCTCGAGGGCGGCTGGCACTGCTTCGATGTGAGGTCCTGTCGCGCCCGGTGGATGCGACTGCGCCACCTCATGACCTCCTCGCAGTGGCCGGAAACGAGAGATGGTGAGGATGCCACTAAAAATATTTAATATTAAAATATATTAATTTGGATATTATTTCATTCGTTTTCCAAAAATTCAGTTCCTTATAAATTTACCTAACTTAAAAACTATAAACCATAGTAAAATAATCTTAAAGCAAACATCACTTTTTTAATATAACCAAAAAAACTTTAGAAATTTATGTTCACAATCCCTTTTATTTAAGCAAATTTTTTAAGATTTTTATGATTAGTTTAATATTTGGAAACCAACGAGGTTAATATAAACATTTTAAAAAACTTTTTACAGAATTAAATAATATTATCTTTCAACACAACAAATATTAAATGTTGAATACGTAAATTCATTAATTAATAAAAAATAAAATCCAATAAATACATTAAAAAAAAATTTTTTTTTTAATCAAACAAGAAAATATTTCTAATAATTTTATTTTATTATCTTTTTTCAGTCGGAGGCATCCTATCGCCCCATCCCGAGGAGAATCCCTACTGGCACAATGCCAACCACGTGCTGATCCCGTACTGCAGCAGTGATTCGTGGTCGGGAACGCGAATGGAGCCGGATACCAGCGACAGGGAGAACAAGTGGCGCTTCATGGGAGCTCTGATCCTGCGCCAGGTGATCGCCGAACTGATTCCCGTGGGCCTGGGTCGTGTGCCGGGTGGCGAGCTGCTCCTCGTCGGCTCCTCGGCCGGTGGTCTTGGTGTAATGCTTAATTTGGATCGCATTCGGGATTTCCTGGTCAACGAAAAGAAGCTGCAGGTGACGGTGCGGGGAGTGAGTGACTCTGGTTGGTTCCTGGACCGAGAACCATACACGCCGGCGGCGGTGGCCTCCAGTGAGGCAGTGCGTCAGGGCTGGAAGTTGTGGCAGGGCCTGCTGCCCGAGGAGTGCACCAAGGCTCATCCCACGGAGCCCTGGCGGTGTTATTTCGGCTACAGGCTATATCCCACATTGAAAAGTAAGTGGACTTTAAGTTTAGTAAATTATTGGATTATATTTAACAAGTATTTTTTCCAAAATAGCTCCCCTTTTCGTCTTCCAATGGCTCTTCGACGAGGCCCAAATGCGAGCGGACAATGTTGGTGCACCCGTGACGCCCCAGCAATGGAACTATATCCACGAGATGGGCGGAGCTCTGCGATCCTCCCTAGACAATGTGACCGCTGTGTTTGCACCCAGTTGCATAGGCCATGCGGTGTTGTCCAAGAGGGATTGGGTCAACATCAAGATCGATGATATATCCCTGCCCTCGGCGCTGCGCTGTTGGGAGCACTCGACGCGTCGCAAGCGCCATGACAAGCTGAAACGCTCGACGGAACCTTCGACGGCGGTTTCTCAGCTGCCACATGCCAATAACCAAAGACACCAGCGGCACCGTCAGCGGCAGCACCGCCAGAAGCAGAACAACGTGGCCCAAAACGGTGGCCAGCCGCAGCAGCAGCAGCGGAAGCACAATCACTTGAGCAAGGAGGAGCGGGAGGAGCGGAAGCGTTTGCGCCAGGAGCAGCGGCAGAGGCGAAAGCAGCGGCGTCGACAGCAGCAGCAGCAGCACAAGAAGGCCAATGCGGCGCAGGACAATCGGAACAAGAAGAATAATAGCCCCAAGTCGAGTAATGGCAATGATCAGCGGAAGCAGCAGCAGCAGCAGCGGCGTCGTCAGCAATTGACACCGGAACAAAGGCAGGAGCAGCGAAAGAGGCGCCGAAAGGCTCAGCGGGAACAGCAGGAGCGGGAACAGCAGGAGCAGCCGGGAGTTATCCCAGAGGTGGGTGAACCCCCTCTGAAGACGCGCTCCTCGAACAACGCCTCCGCGGGCACAAAGTCCAAGAAGCGGCAGCGAGTGCCCCGAGTCCCGGAGAAGTGCGGTCTGCGACTCCTGGAGCGGTGCAGTTGGCCGCAGTGCAACCACTCCTGTCCCACGCTCACGAATCCCATGACCGGCGAGGAGATGCGCTTCCTGGAGCTCCTCACCGCCTTCGGCTTGGACATCGAGGCGGTGGCAGCTGCCTTGGGAGTCGATATGCATACGCTGAACAACATGGAGCGCACCGAGTTGGTCAATCTGCTGACGCAGCAGGCCAACTAGGCTCACCAAATACCCTGTAAATTTTTGGGGGGATCCTAACTTAGGGTTAAGCCATTGTTCCCTACGATTGGTTGGCCTTTCGGAGGTCTATAGAACTCGACCCACCCTGTACTGTAAATAAGTGGCCTGTATATATAGTTTGTAGGTGGGGCCGCTCTGTAAATATTGCCTAATACCACCCCAAAAACAAACACACACTCACTTAAGCGGAGAGATAGCTCCAATTCCTAGATCACACCAAGAAAAAGACATGCGCATAGTAACCCAGTAATTAAGCAGAATTTATTTATATCGTCCTACTCGAACTGCAACTCGTATTTGTATTCACATTCACACATTCGCACGCCACACCACATACGTCTTATTTTATTCATTCGCATTCTGCAATCACAATCAAAGAAATGAAATCTGCTTAACGAGAAACTAAACACAAATGCAACCACAAGACTGTTTTTATGTTTTTTTTACATATATTATATTGATAAAGTAGCATAGTTTACATAGATATGGCTAAATAATCGTAAATGTTTATGTAATTTATTTGATAATTTATGGCCCGTATAGGATGGTACTTTTGTGTGGAATCTAGACTGTTTCAATTGCCCCACGCAAGTGTTTTATTTTTATTTGTATTATTTTTTTTTTTTATACATTGTTTTATGCCTACCTCAGATCAGTAAGAATGAAATTGATAAACAGCTGCCTTTACATATCATTGCGTACCTGTGCAACGAAAATCAAATACTTAATACTTAACTTAATACCGCCCGCATTCCGTTAAAAAAGAAGGTAAATTAAGAATACAGCACAACAAACAAATGCGAAAATAGCAAACCAGAAGCGAAGTGAACAAATCGAATAAGTAAATGTAGCAATGTTTTGTAAAGAATTTCTAGATAAACGAGAAAAATCGCACAAAAATAAACTATTTAAAACTAGTAACTTATTTTAAGCCTGTACAGAACTGGTTGAAGTTTAGCCCTAAGCATTGTTGTACTTAAACTTAGTTAATAATCATACACGTAATGCAATTTCCAAGCTTATTAGCTTTTGTTAGCGTTGTTCAAATGAACTGGTTATCATTTTAAAAAGATGAAATCGACCAATCTTTGAAGAAGGAAACCAATCAAATAAACCAGACAAAATAATTTAATCACACATTGTTTTATTCTAAATGGGGTCTATTTATTATATATTTATACTCTCGGACGGCAGCCCTCACATAATACCTTTGTGCACCAGCGATTATCATTGCCGCCACATCCAAGGTAATTTATTTTGGTGCAGTTTCTAGTCATTGTATTATAATGCCACATATTTTTATTAGCCGAGTCTTTGCACTTTCTTCTGCGATTATTACCGCTATCAAAAGTCCCATTGCACTTTGGCGCTCCTATGAAAGTTTAACATGAAAATATCGTCATACATTTTGGTGTTTATCCCTACTTACCAGGTTTTCCCTTGCATCTTACCACTCCACTAACATCCACCCAAAGGTACAAGACCATTACGGCAGTAATAAAAATCAAGGTGGAATTCCGCATTTTAGTAGGAAACTTTGTTCAGTCTATGGTGATATAGGAATAAGGTCTTAACTCAGATGTCAGGGTCTTTATAAAGCCTACTTTAGTCACATTGTTTTCTTCTTTAATTTTTTTACGCTCTATTTTTGGTATATATAAACTTATTAATGTCTGCTGGAGAATCGAATTGAAAAAACACGTGCCTTAAACTGAATAAAAGGTATAATTAAACACAATTCATTATATTTTTCCTTGTCAAGTATTTTTGTGCGAGATTCTAAAAATATCTTTAGATTGTCAGATATAGGGCTAAACAAGTATTGTTTGCTTTTCGAGCCTGTCTTGGAGTGTTATAATAATTAAATGACTTCTAATTTGTTTGTATTACGCGTGGGTATAATTGCAAAAGGTACTTTGTGCCAATGCACTCAATATCCATTTGTGCTTTTTAACTGAGCTTTTATAACCTTTGCAACCTATATAAAGTTTTTAAATCAGTCATGAAAATATCACACAGATGATCAAAATGAGTCTGAATTTAGCTCTTGTCTTTTTAACTTTATTTGCGGCCTTTGCCACGGGCCAATTTCTCTGCCGCGGACGACCCCGTAAGTGAGAAACATTTTTATTTTGCCAATTCCAAATAAATTTAAATCATTTTTCAGCCTTTCCGACATGTGTTGGCATTAAAAATGAAGGACTGGCGCTTGGAGTGGGATGTGCGAGTAGAGCCACGTCTGAAATGTGGTACTATAACAGCGCTGCCCGTCAATGTCTAAAGATGTCGTACAGCGGATGTGGAGGAAATACCAACCGATTTTGCAACCTTCTAGCGTGTCGTCTCCTTTGTGTTCCACGACTTGGCCGTTAAAATAAATTTACACATTTTCAAATTATTCGGGGGTGTCACAGAAATTATTTCCAACCGAAATCCGTTAAAGTTCTTACGTTCATCAATGCAAAATCCAACCTTCTTCGGTTGGAAGAGATTTCTGTTGTTGATTGTTGTCCAAATTTTGATTAAATTAAATTCAAAATTCAGAATTATTACAAAAATGTTATTTCCAAGCGCATATAACCCATATATCAAAAAATACCGAAGCTGTAATTTGTTTAAATTTATTTAACCGATCATTCCTATAGGCTATATGATATAGTTGTCCGATCTAGTTCATTCCGACTTACATACTACACTCAGAAAAAAAGTTCCTTAATTTAAGTCTTGATTTAAGGAATAATGGCTTTAAAATGGCTAACAAGTCTATACGTGGACTTAAAAATTTGCATTCCATATAAATTGTAATTTAAGTCCATGTATAGCCTTATTTAGCCATTTTTAGTCCATCGTTCCTTAATTTAAGTAACGTGGACTTTAATCAAGGTAATTTTTTTTTCTGGGTGTACCTGAAAACGAAAGAAGACTGTTGAGAAAGTTTTTACCCGATAGCTTAAAAACTGAGAGACTAGACAGACGGACATGGCTATATCGAATCGTCTAGTAATGCTGATCAAAAATATATATACTTTTTAGGGTCCTTCACTACGTTGCAAACTTCTGACTGAAATCATTATACCCTCTGCAGGGGTATAAAAAAGTCAATGGTTATTTACTTTGGATTTTTTTTCTGTAATCTAAATATATTATTATCTTGTTGTCCGTGCTAAGCAGCAAGTAATGAAATTCAAAAATCCCAAGGCCGTAGGTGAGACTTGAACGTCCAGCACACAAGTGTTCATAAAAGTGGGACAATTTTTTTTATAGGTATTGTTTAAAATCTAGGACAAGTTTAAAATATGCATTGTTTTAAAGAAATTTACAACATGAATTTCGATGGTTTTTTTGTACACATTCCTATAAAAGCTCTGCAAATCGAACGATCAATCAGTTAATGCCGAACAGTAAGATATTCAAAATGAAGTTTCTTATGATCCTGGCTATTTTCACTCTGTATATCGTCTGTATCGATGCCCAGCGCTTTTGTCAAGGACGACCTGGTAAGTGCAGAAGGATAAAATGTACGAGGCACGAAAGACTTGACCAACAAAATTTCAGTTTTTCAGATATGCACTGGCGGTCGGGATGAAGGAAACAGCAATGGACGTTTTTGCGGCGCTGCCTCCCAAAACGAAATGTGGTTCTATAATTCCAGGGGTAGAAAGTGTGAAAAGATGAGGTATCGCGGCTGTGGGGGCAATAACAATCGCTACTGCAGCTTGTCAGATTGTATTGAAAAGTGCAGGCGCTGAATTCCACACCAAACAATAAAGGAAGCTAGCTTCGGCCAGCCAAAGCTTATATGCCCTTGCAGATAATTTTTATTAAATTGCAAAATGTTAATTTCTTCGTTCCTTCCTATGGCATCTTTATTGTCAAATTTAGAAGAGAGTACAATAAAAACTATCGATGCTTAATTCGTTTCCTATTAATTGTTTGATCGTTCCTATGGCAGCTATATGATATAATCGTCCGCTTTTTATAAAATAAAATTCGAAATTCAGAATAATTAAACTGTTGATTCTGATTCTGTGGAACCCCTGACAATGTTTGTATACATATACCCTTGCAGAGGGTGCAATGAAACGGCTCGTTTAAATTGCGCGCCGTGTTTACTGAAGGTTCCTTAGGACACCAGAGGGCTGCATTAAAAAATTGAGCTTTATGCGCCATCAGTTGAAAAAATTACGAATCAATTTCCGTCAATGTCAATTGGTCGCTTATTTTCTGAAGGGAAATCTCATGCCCAATGCGTTTCTCTTACCAAATAATTTGTTGGACTTCAATCTTCGTGGTATCGCAAAATTTATTAAGATTGCAGTCAAACTGAGGAAAATGGCCCAAGTCGCGGTTAAGGGCGGCAAAACAAAAATTGACATCGAGAAATTTTTAAGGAATGATGGAATTGTAGAAATCAAGGAATAAAAATAATAAACTTACAAAAATGTGGACCTCCGCGTCAAAGAGCTATAACCACATTTTTATATCATGGAAAGGGGTTAAAACAAATTCTATTCCATTTTATATTAAAAGATTAATGGCCAAAAAGTTCAAAAAAATTTTATAAAAATTATCTCTTTTACCCTTTACTGTTAACAGCGAAAGTAAGTTTCGTACTGTCATTACCCCAGGCTCTTTTGAGCCAAATCTGGATCTTTTTTTCGCGTTGTCTCTTTGGCCCATTTTTATTGAATTTGGCTCTTTTTTGCTGATAGCGATATAAAATATTTTAAAGTTGGAAAAACAAATTCATATTTTTAATTATGCATTTTTTTTGCAATTTTAAAAGTGATTAATGTCTGAAATCCAAAAGTGCCAGATCGAAACTAAATTGTTCCACTGGTATGGTAATTTGGTATATGGTAAAAAGTTGGCTCTTTTTTATTCAAATTGGCTCATTTTTAATCTTTTTTTGGCTCATACAAAATTTTTGAAGTGGCAACCGCGGCTATACTAGTTTAAAACAAGAAAGGAAGCTAGCTTATATACCCATGTGGATAAAGTAAATACAGTGAGTCCCATTAATATTCCGTTTTTTTTTTGCAACTTTAAACGTGAATAAAAGGTATGAAACTAATAAAATCAAAATATTTAATGATGCAGGGTTAAAGCTTGTTTTATTACTTTTAAAAAAATTTTTTTTTGCATATTCTGACCCAGTTTTACCTACTTAAAAAAGGATGGGCAGGATAAAGTCAAAACAAGAAAGAAAGCTAGCTTCGGCCAGCCGGTATTAAGATTTCAGTCAGAAGTTTGCAACGCAGTGAAGGAGACGTTTCCGACCCCATAAAGTATATATATTCTTGATCAGCATCACAAGACGAGTCGATCTAGCCATGTCCGTCTGTCCGTCCGTCTGTCCGTCTGTCTGTTTCTACGCAAACTAGTCTCTCAGTTTTTGAGCTATCGGGACGAAACTTTCGCAAAAGTCTTCTTTCTATTGCAGGTAGTATATATGTCGGAGCCGACCGGATCGGACAACTATATCTAATAGCTCCCATAGGAAGGATCGGAAAAAAAAACTTTAAAAAAATCTAGCTTTGGTGTTTTTTGAAATATTACCTTCTACTTTTGGGGATGTTATTTTTTAAATATTTCTGAATTTCGAATTAATTATTTAAAAAATCGGACTACTATATCATATAGCTGCCATAGGAACGATCGGAAAATTAATGGAAAAGTAATAGGAAATAAATTCTAGTTTCTTTGATTTTTATGGTATCACTATGGACGGCAGTCCATGTAGTGACGAAGCGCACCAGGAGAGTGTGCGAAGGCGACTACTATATATACACGAAGAAATGAAAATCTGCTGTGATAGTCAGATCGTAATGAGTAATACACCAATCGAAAGGTATTGCAAAAACTTAAAGGATTGCATACCAAGACTTTAAGAAAATCAATTGGATTGGGAGAGAGAGCGGTGAAAGTGAAAAAGTAAAAATTTAGAAATTTGGAGCTGTTGGGGCCGGTGGGGATAAATGCCCCCTCGCAATGATTTACTTGTATTCCTTTTGAAAATACCCGTCGAATGAGGGGTCATTTGTCAAAATCCGACGCTCCGTTCAAAAGTTATAGCCAAAATAAGATTTTCTTCTTCTTCCCAAAATGAAAATTTAATTCTGTTTGTCAGTTTGTCCACTTGTCCACTTGTCCACTTGTCCAAAACATGTTTTTTAAGTTCTGAAAATTTGATATGACGTTCATCACATCGATATAAAAAACTTTTGTTCTACCACTTTTGGAAAAACTCGCTAGTTTAGCGGGAAAACAGCTATAAATAGCTAAAATTCGGAAAGCCGTAACTTCTATACTACTAAAGCTACAGACTTGTGCTGCATCTCGTTTGAAAGGTATTTTGAAATGCTATAAACGCCTTCTATATGCAATTTGTGTAAATGTAATAGTTAAAGAAATATGAACAAAAGACAATTTTTTAAAACTTTTTTTTTAGCTTTTTTTTATTTTTCTCAAAAACGGCTCTAACGATTTTTTTTAAAACCTTAAACTGTATAGCCCTTGAGATTCCTTAAATTTTGGTATATAACACATTACTGTAAAAAGTCACGTTTAATAGTTATTTTTATACGAAAATAGCCACTGTTGCCAGCTCGAACAATTAACGCTCCCTGAGTATTGAATTTTGTGGGAGGGTATCCGAACTGTATTTTAGGGTCATGGAATCAGTAAATTTGCACTTAAGAGTTCCATATAGGAATCTTTTGTTCTACGACTTTTGGAAAAAGCCGCTACTTTAGCGGGAAAGAGCTAAAAATAGCTAAATTTCGTTAGTTTGTAAGTTCTACACTACTAAAGGTACAGACATGTGCTATACCTCGTTTAAAAGGTATTTTGAAATACTTCAACGCCTTTTTAACTCAATTTGTTAAAATACAATAGTTTAAAAATTATGATTGACCAATTTAAATTTAAATGTATATATTAGCTCCTATGAGAGCAAAAGTAAACAAACAAAAACTTCTGATATCAAATAAAAACACCTCTTAACGAGGTAAAAAACTAGTGACGACCGCACCTTCAACATACAAAAGTTCTGATATCAACATTTGTGACGAAAAATTATTACACTCGTCATTAAATAGACTTTCTAATATTTTCTCATTGGGCACGCTGCAATAGAAAATGCCTGTGAAGGGAAAAAGGTTGGAATAGTTTGCTAGGGCGGGCCGAATGAGAAAATATTAGAAAGTCTATTTAATGACGAGTGTAATAATTTTTCGTCACAAATGTTGATATCAGAACTTTTGTATGTTGAAGGTGCGGTCGTCACTAGTTTTTTACCTCGTTAAGAGGTGTTTTTATTTGATTATCTTCTACTCTAGGATATGACTCTTTTTAAATATTTCCGAATTTCAATTTTAATTTGATCAAAATCGGACGACTATATCATATAGCTCATATAGGAACGATCGGAAAATTAATGAGAAATATTAAAAAATTGAACATTTTTGCGATTTGTTAATTAATAGGAATAATCTGCAAGGGTATATAAGCTTCGGCTGGCCGAAGCTAGCTTCCTTTCTTGTTTTTGGCAAGTTTCAAGTTCGTTTTGCTGAAAGTACATGATACATTACGTAGCGAGGTACCTACTAAAAATACAAACTAAATTCTCATGTGCGTTATACAATGTATATAATATACCCATATAATATAGACATGTATTCAAAAGCTTAAGTAGTTTATTTCAGATTACGGTGGTTTCAAAGCTTCTATAAAAATGGCTTAGTCGCAATAAAAAAAATAATTAAAAAAAATAGTTATTTATCTAGAAATTTGGTGACCTTATGAAATGCACTTTTTAATGCTCTCTGTTGTTATTTATTTGTACAGCCTTTCCTAATATTATTAATAAAATGATAATTTCTTTAGAAAAAATTATATTTTGAAAAAGTACAATAAAAATGTATATATCGCTATATGAAATTGAATGGGCTTCACGGAACAGCTCAGAAACAATAGAAAACAACTGTATTTAAAAATATGGATCGATATGGCGTTTTTCTTTTAAATAAATGGCTTTGTTTCAACGAATTACGTTACTGAAATAAGCTTGGTAATAAGGCCGAATTTCTTCTATATAAGCCTTAAATCATTGCTAGAGTAATCAGTTCAAATCGATCAGTCGATAATAAACTATCAAAAATGAAATTCCTTTTGATCTTGGCCAGCTTAATTGTCTATATGGGCCTTGCCGCTGCCCAGAATTGCCAAGGACGTGTTAGTAAGTATAAACAAAAAAACATTAACAATAGTTTCATGAAGTAATAAATTTAACCTGTAGTTGGCGAGCCAAACTGCCGCGGCGGTAAAGACGAAGGATCACCAACTCGAGCCAGAGGTGGACCAGCTTGTACTCCACAGCCAAATAACAACATGTGGTACTACAACGAGAGAACTAATAAATGCCTCAAGATGAGTTATAAAGGGTGCTACGGCAACAGAAATCGTTATTGCACATTGCAAAGCTGTGAAGCAAAATGCCCTCCTCGAAACTAAAACTATGAACCCAAATAAACCCTGCCATCTGACATAAATAAATAAAATAAAATCATGCTATTAAGCTAAAAAAAACTGACATCACTTTTTTTTGTTGATACCTACTTAGTAGATCAAACTTAAACTCTTATATGATGAAAATAGGTAAATACAAAGCAGTAGTTTGCTTAATTGCGGATCTAAATTTATCTTCTATTCCAAAACCTAAATATACAAGAATTTTTTTTTTGAATTTTATAATTTATTTATTTTAATAGAAAAATTGTTTGGAATACTTGTTATTTTTGAAGTAAAGCTTATAAATAATGCAATGTAGATTATACAACAAGATTATTTTTTTTAGCAACACTGCGTTACAAATATTTAACCCTTAATTCATGACTTTATAAAAAAAAATATTTTTTTTAATGACAGTTGCCTTTTGTATAACAAGCAAGAGTTCACCGATCAATACATCTGCAAATTATTATACGAATACATGATAACCATAAAAAATAAATATAATATAGCTTTTATTTACAAAATTCATAAGCCCTGTTATTGTTTAAAATCACGCGCAACCCATTGAATGGGCCTCGTGCAATTCATTGAATAGAAATAACTGAATTAAAATAAAAGATCAGTACATTTCTGGGTTGGCATATGGATATATTTCCCATTATCACCACCTCATTGTAAAACTTAGGCTTCATAATTAAAATTAAAATCGATAAAAATGGTACTTAATAATATAAACAAGAGGGAACGTTATAGTCGGATGCCCCGACTATCAGATACCCGTTACTCAGGTAAAGGGAGTGCGAGGGAGATGGAGATAGAGATAGAAAACGTTGATCACGCATAACTTTTTAACGAATGGTCCGATTTGAAAAATTTCTTCTACATTTCGATAGGTATTGATAAACACAATAAAACTGCATTTTTACTTTTCCAAAATATTAAAATTTTTAAAATCGTATATAAGCGATGGTGGGCGTTAGAGGGGGCGTGGCACCATTTTGAAACAAACTTGCGCTGCGTAGGAATTCCTAGAATCTGCATGCAAAATGCCAATCTTCTAGCTTCTATAGTTTCCGAGATCTCAGCGTTCATACGGACAGACGGACAGACAGACAGACAGACAGACAGACAGACAGACAGACAGACAGACGGACAGACGGACAGACGGACATGGCTAGATCGACTCGGCTAGTGATCCTGATCAAGAATATATATACTTTATGGGGTCGGAAACGCTTCCTTCTACCTGTTACATACTTTTGCACGAATACAATATACCCTTTTACTCTACGAGTAACGGGTATAAAAAGGTTTGAATTAAATATATAAGTAATGCGATTTTAGAAAACTGGAGATGTTGATGCCGGCGGAGATGTATTTTCCAGTTAATGGAACAATTTTGGTTAGACGTAAAAACATCAATGTTTACACATTGTCTACTTAACATTTTTACATTATACACATTATCGACTAGCGCTGTAGTTCAATGGCATTTTTAAATCAATTTCACTGTTATGCGATTATCTCGAGAACTTGTTTTAAAAAGACTTCATTCAATTGTCAATACTTTCAGATACCGCTTTAAAGACGTAATAAATATTTTAAAATTAGTGTCGGTGTCGGTTGTTGTCTCGGACACAAAAGGTTCATGTCGTGGCCAAGTGTTCCTAGTTCTGGAGTGCTTTGTGAAACACTTTCTACGAATCGGGATAGGGAAATACCGTAAAGTGAGGGGAGCCAGTATTTCAAATGGACTTTTCAAATACTCGTTACATCTTTTCCTTTCATGCCCAACATTCCGGAATAATAACTAAAATATAATTAATAATTAAAATTTTAAAACTTTGACGAGGTGTAGCTTTAAACTAACGACTGGAACTCAACGATGTGATTTCTTAATCAGGGAGATGTACTTTACCGTAAAACCAAGGTTGTCTTCGATGAGGATGTTGTAAATTGTATTTTGTAAACTTGTGTAACCAACGACCCCCTGCAACTGTGCAGCTTTTAAATTTCAATGACTACAAAATTAAAAATTAAATAAGAAAATTAAATTAAATTATAAATAAATAAATAAACAAGAAAGGAAGCTAGCTTCGGCCAGCCGAAGCTTATATACCCTTGCAGATCATTCCTATTAATTTACAAATCGCAAAATTGTTAAATTTCCTGTTATTTCTCATTAATTTTCCGATCGTTCCTATGGCAGCTATATGATATAGTAGTTCAATTTTAATAAAATTAAAACCGAAATTCGGAAATTTTTAAAAAGAGCCATATCCCAGAGTTGAAGGAATACAATAAAAACCAACGAAGCAATAATTTTTTTCCTATTAATTTGCATTTAATTTTCCGACCGTTCCTATGGCAACTATATGATATAGTGTCCCGATTTTTTCCAATTTAATTCGAAATTCATAAATATTTAAAAAACAAGAAAGGAAGCTAGCTTCGGCAAGCCGAAGCTTATATACCCTTGCAGATTATTCCTATTAATTTACAAATCGCAAAAATGTTAAATTTTCTATTATTTTATATTAATTTTTCGATCGTTTCTATGGCAGTTATATGATATAGTAGTTCGATCTTTTTAAAATTAAAATCGAAATTCGGAAATATTTAAAAATAGTCATATCCCAGAGTAGAAGGGAATGTAATAAAAATCAACAAAGATATAATTTGTTTTCCTATTAATTTCCATTTAATTTTTCGACCGTTCCTATGGCAGCTATATGATATAGTGATCCGATTTTTAAAATATTTAATTCGAAATTCAGAAATATATAAAAAATAATATTCCCAAGAGTAGAAGGTAATACTTGAAAAAACACCGAAGCTAGAATTTTTTAAAGTTTTTTTTTCCGATCGTTTCTATGGGAGCTATAAGATATAATTGTCCGATCCGGTCGGTTCCGACATATATACTACCTGCAATAGAAAGAAGACTTTTGGGAAAGTTTCATCCCGATAGCTTGAAAACTGAGAGACTAGTTTGCGTAGAAACGGACGGACAGACGGACGGACAGACGGAAAGACGGACATGGCTAGATCGACTCGTCTTGTGATGCTGATCAAGAATATATATACTTTATGGGGTCGGAAACGTCTCCTTCACTGCGTTGCAAACTTCTGACTGAAATCATAATACCCTCTGCAAGGGTATAAAAATTAGCAAGGGTACAAAAAATTCTCTAATTTTTTGTAGAATGGACGGCTAAACCCTTAGCCTACACTCATAAAAATAATTTTCTACATTTTAGAAAATCGCCCTAAAAAATTTTTCGCCTTTGAACTGAGAAAAATTTTCTATTTTCACGACAAATTTGCCATAAATTTAAGGCAGGATACCATAAAAAAATATTTTTAGGGTTAATTTTTCTATTTTTCTAATATTTAGGGCGATTTTTTTCGATTTGCTTCGTTTTGACCTTTTCTAAATCCAACGGCGAATTGCCCTAATTTTTTTTCTAAAATTTTTCTAAATACAAGGGCGATTCGCCTTAAAAATCACTCCAAAAGTGTGAAATTCGGTAGCCCAGCGGTCTAATCACTTGCGCTTTCAACTTAGCTTTATGAGGACTAAGGTCGTGGGGTTGTGGGTTCGAACCCTGTGTGATTCAACTTGATTTTTATTTTTTTTTTTTTTTTTTGTAAACATTATAATACTGAGGACATTTTTTCGTCCGAATTTTAAATTAAAGTAGTCTTTAAACCTTAAAAACGTATGGGAGTTCTGAGTTAAAAGCATACTTTGTGTTTGCGGGCAAGAAAACGGGACTAATTGTCACAGTCGTCAGGAAAAAAATATACGGTTTAGTTGCCTTTAGTCATATTATAACGTAGACCTCAAGAAAATAAGATGTGTGCAGAGTTTGTTCGTCGTCTTGCGCGATGGGTCTGTGGTGCAGCGGTAGGACGTTAGACTCTAAACCGAGATGTCGTGGGTTCGATTCTCGCCATGGCCAAAAAAAGTAAGTTGTTTTTTCTCCTCATATTTATTTCCCTAATTCATTTACAAACATGATTTTTCAGTTCTAACGGCTGTGCTGTATAGATCGGGCCCCCCTCTTAACCCGGCTCCCATATAAACTACACACCAATACAATAATATGAAACGGTGTCCTCCGCCGGTGTTGTTTAATTAAAGCAGTCCCAGTTCCCAGAATATAGACGATTAAAAAAAAACATGCTTCCCAAATTCAGTTAAGCATGCTCAAACACGATTTTTTTTTAATTTGTCTAATTTTTTAGGGCATTTGCCTATAAAAACAGAAAATTCGCCCTTAATTTTAGAAAAATACACCTTAAAATTAGGGCAAATCACCCTAAAAACAGGAAAATATTTCTTATTTCAAGAAAAATCACCCTAAATTAAACCAAATTTCCATCGGGATTTTTTAGAAAATTTTTCTAAATACACGGGCGAATCGCCAGCGGATACGATTTATGGGCGATTTTCTAAATCCACGGGCGAAAAGTCAGTTTTTTAGGGCGATTTAGGGTAAAAATTTCTATGAGTGTACCACTAGACATCCGTTTCAGCACAATCCTATCATTCTGCCAAAAAAATTGATGGGTAGAAAAACAAAGTCGCTCAGAAGAAGCGTTTTGCTGCTTAATTACATACAAAAATTGCATTTTCAAGCGACTTTTTCTACCCATCCATTTTTATACCCTTGCAGAGGGTATTATGATTTCAGTCAGAAGTTTGCAACGCAGTGAAGGAGACGTTTCCGACCCCATAAAGTATATATATTCTTGATCAGCATCACAAGACGAGTCGATCTAGCCATGTCCGTCTGTCCGTCTGTCCGTCCGTCTGTCCGTCTGTCTGTTTCTACGCAAACTAGTCTCTCAGTTTTTGAGCTATCGGGATGAAACTTTCCCAAATATCTTCTTTCTATTGCAGGTAGTATATATGTCGGAACCGACCGGATCGGACAATTATATCTTATAGCTCCCATAGGAACGATCGGAAAAAAAACTTTAAAAAATTCTAGCTTCGGTGTTTTTTCAAGTATTACCTTCTACTCTTGGGAATATTATTTTTTATATATTTCTGAATTTCGAATTAAATATTTTAAAAATCGGATCACTATATCATATAGCTGCCATAGGAACGGTCGAAAAATTAAATGGAAATTAATAGGAAAACAAATTATATCTTTGTTGATTTTTATTACATTCTCTTCTACTCTGGGATACGACTATTTTTAAATATTTCCGAATTTCGATTTTAATTTTAAAAAGATCGAACTACTATATCATATAACTGCCATAGAAACGATCGAAAAATTAATATAAAATAATAGGAAATTTAACATTTTTGCGATTTGTAAATTAATAGGAATAATCTGCAAGGGTATATAAGCTTCGGCTTGCCGAAGCTAGCTTCCTTTCTTGTTTTTTTTTATCTTTCCTATGGGAGCTATAAGATATAGTTGTCCGATCCGGTCATTCCGACATATATACTACCTGCAATAGAAAGAAGACTTTTGGGAAAGTTTCATCCCGACAGCTCAAAAACTAAGAGACTAGTTTGCGTAGAAACAGACAGACAGACGGACAGACGGACATGGCTAGATAGACTCGGCTATTGGTGCTGATCAAGAATATATATACTTTATGGGGTCGGAAACATCTCCTTCACTGCGTTGCAAACTTCTGACTGAAATCATAATACCCTGCAATGGTATAATAAATTAGTAATGCCGATTCTAAACACATTGCAAATGTATTACCTTACAAACAAAGATTTCCTGGATATTAAAGTTCTAGAACGATTTGCCTTGACCCCCAGGATATTGTGTACCCCATGACTTTCGTACATCCTGCGGCTGCCCTTTGTTGGCCAGATGGCATATGCAAAGTGCAAACAAATTATTATTAGCTGCCAACAGTGCCAGCTACATCATCTTCACAATGAAAGCGCCAAGGGATTCCCATACAAATGTGGCCTTCAGTAGAAAGCAGAAGGCATTTGGCCAAGGCGGGGCTTCGGTGCATTTTTCCATTGGCCGGCAGCATTGTTCCGCCTTTAAGACCCATTTAATTCACTTTGTCACCATGCAAATGAAACATTAGTGGTGACGTACCCAAATGGATCGCTCAAAGGTCTCCGTCGGATGCCTGCAATTAGGCCAGACACGTAAATGGAAATGATTTACAATCGTTTGCTGCTACTGTTTGCTGCTGCTGCTGCAGTCCTCGGCCATTAAAGTGCACTGAGAAAAATTATTTGTTTATTAGTTTAGTATTTCCGTTTATAAAATAGATTTTTATTAAAAATATGAATATTCGTTGGAATAATAAAAAATGTTTAGCATAAATTTTGAATACTTAGCATTTAATTAAAAAATGTATGTACAAATTATATGGAGGACAAAATTGCATTACTTACCTTAAAAAGTGAAGTTTTGTATTTTATTCCACTTTGTATTAATAAAATATTAATATTAGGAATTCCATAATCGATCAAACCTTTTTTCCGTGTTGCGGAGGAACGGACACATGTAGCTGTCATCGGCGTTGAGAGTCGACAGCGATTTATCAGTGGCCAAATCAATTAGTAACTACGTAGCTTATCGCCATGTTGTTGGGTGAGGGCTGCAAAATGCAAGGGGGTCTCATAGCCCATTCATTATACGCACCGGCAGAGGAGTGTCATAAATATTCCCATCATCGTTTATTCGGCTCGCCATCAAATGGCCGCAAATGAAAACCTGTTGATGTCCCCCACAGAAGGCGATACACATACAGCCCTCACCCACTTCCACTGCCAGTTGGCATCTTCTTGGCGACTCTTGTAATTGAAGAAGCTCTTTTTTCCTTCATTTTTTAGAGGAGCAACAAAACAGAGGAGGCGCTGTGTCGCCATAAATATTCATGAAGCACTAAAAGGGTTCTCGTCCGGATGCTTAGGTCCTGCTGGGGTGTCGCATTGAGCATCGAGCATTGAGCATGTGAAGGTAAGTGGATGGTAAGTGGCGGGAATCGTATTTGTGTTTGGTCAATTGCCACCCGGCGACATAGAAATGCAATATGCAATATGCTGTCGTCGGTCGTTCCATTTGCTCCACTGTAAGTGTGGAGTGTTTAATTTTAAATGCCCCAAGGAGAGCGTGTACCTGAATTTGAATGAGTCCAAGGCTCGCTATTCCCAGGGGATCGACAATGGCTAGTCGGGGATTGGGGGAAGGACGATTCGGTGGGCGCTAAAATAAACAATCGCGCATGTGTGCCCTAAGCTCGGGGGCTTCCCCCCACTCACCCACACTCTACCACACTCACACGCACACACAAGCTCGCCCCGCTAAGTAGGCAACACACTTTTCGGCCACTTCCGTTGCACAAACGGCGACAAGCGGATATCCATATCCCCCCTGCCATTGTGTGCGTGCGCAGCCGGCACCCACCGGGAAAGTGAGAAGGTGGTTCTTTGTGTGCTGAAAATCCTGTTCCTTTTAGCAGAAAGTGTTGGAAATCCTGTTTCTTTCAGCAGGCGACGGTGTAGGGAAAATGTAAATTCCCTAGGAAAACCACATAGAAACCTCATTTCCCCCTTACTTTTTGTGTCACCCCCGTGTATTTTGAAACCAGAGACGGAAGAAATGTAAGGGGTGAATGAGGTTTTGTCCCTTCCGCTTGTATGGAGAAACCTCTTGAAAATATGTTATTTTCCAGAGGAATGTTCCCGCTGGGCAGTCCTGTTCACACAAACTCACTCACACACACACACGAAGTACCGTTCGTGGACACATGGATTCCCGTTCGGGCGGCGGTTCGTTTCCGTTTTGATTTATAAGCGACCGCCGCGCCGGTCTGCGTATCATTAGCATTCGATCAACAGGTTTGCGCACAACCAGGACGACCAGCAACTCGCTCCACGAAACCAGTTTCACACGGGCCAAGTAAAGGCGCTAATTGAATTCCAATCGTGCCCATAAATTTAATTACAAGCGCTATTTCATGTGGAAAAAAATTGCATAAAAGAGTGACCGCAATAAAATTCAAAAACCTTGGCCACAGTTTTCGCTTGCCGCAAAAAAACATACACCAAAAAATCGCGCAGAAATATTGGCAGGTTAGTGGTCGGTTCAATATTCAATAAGCTCGTAATTTGATTATGTGCCATAGGATATGAATTTCCAAAGTCAATTGTGGTGAACTAAAATACCATCGCTTTTCAAACGCTATAAATTCCGCTGGTCTGTAGGTTATTTAACTCAAAGTATATTTTTCAGTAATCTTTGTAAGAGTTTACCCTTATTACTTAAGTGTGCACATAATTTGTAAAATTGAAATTAACTAAAAAGACATCTGAATTTGAAGGTTGGTAGCACACAATTTTTTCCTTGGAATTCTTAACTTTTTAGTTATTACATTTTTTAATAAAATTATCTCAAGTAGTTGATAAGTACATTTAAACTAAAAAATAAAATACAATTTTTTAGACCAATAAGAAAGGATAATTAGACGATAAAAAAATCTGTGAGTCCACTTTTTGGTGACCAAATTTTGTATTTTTTCATTATTTTTCTTTTATTAATTTTTTTCATAAGGCTTAAATTATTTATAATAACCAAGTTTTCTTTCAAAACTACTGAGAGTAAGAGAAGGATGTAAATGGATTAGCCTAAATTTAATTCTATGAATCAAAGTTCATTAATGAGCTAATTATTTTGTGCATACAAATATGTCCACACACAATGCTAAACTTCGTTTTTGTGGAAAAATTCAACTAGACCATTTTAACTATTCATTAAAACCCAACGACGCGGTTTCTGCCAGGAATAGCGAACATTTTTCCCTTTATATGAAAAACAAAATTTTTAAAAATAGTCTGCTGGTAAAAAATTGAGATGGTTCATCAGCGTAAATTTATTTGCCATGGCCAAATTATGCACAACTCCTTTGCCAAACAAACCCACAATATTTAAGTAAGAGAGAGGCGAGACCCACGGCTAACCTGCTTGAGACGAGCAGTATATTTACACTTTTGCGGATATTTTGTTTATTTACGAATTTTCGTTAATGTCCATGTCCCCGGGAAGATTTCGATTCACACTCAGCGGCAACCGGCGACGAGTCCTCGAGCGTGGGTGCCGGCAGGAAACCTATTTAAACAAAATACTTATTGGCAAATGCCATCCTTTGGCAAATATTTGCCTAAGCTATTTATCGAGACATAGCAAAAAATAGGAGAGCAGGCAAATTCGATTTGCAGTGAGCTGTTTAATTTTGGCGCGAAAATTTGTTTGCCACACTTGAGGGAGCCGCTACAAGGACGCCGGATGTGCTGTCCTGACACCACATGAATTATTCTGCAACTGGCTGGCAAATTAATAATGGAGCATGGCGAGTCAAGTAACAAATTCGAAGGAATGTCAGCCACAAGGGCCATAAATATTTTCAGTTAATTTCAATTACAACTTGACCCGGCACGTTTGCCTGGCCTTTGTCCCGCTCTCTCCATCCTCTCCACGCGGGGGTCATAAAATTCGATGCGTGCTCTATCATCGCGGTGGCTATATATTATAATTTGGCGCAAAGCCGCTAAAACTTTCATCTGGGCGGTGTCAATCAATCAACGACAAGCGCACAAATTAAGTCCAAGCTAAGCCGGCCGAGAAGCGGCCAATTCCGCACTCGGACAATCAGTCAGGAGTCAGCAGGAGTTAGGGGACATTTCCGTATCCAGAAACGGGTTGGATCCGAAGCCACCGCCGCCGACGCCTCTCAATTAGTCGGCCAATCCAAGCGGGCGGCCAGCAACATCATTTAATCAGGCGACCTAGCAGATAAGATACCATTTTGAGATTTTGCTGGGCTTTGAATACTTTATTGCCGGCTGATGACTTTCCATGTTGGCGGCGCCTACCAGCTGCTGCTGATTTGCAATGCCGAAAAATCTGACTGGGATTACCCAAATGTGCTAATTCAAATGGAAGTGAGGCAGTTAATAGGCAGTTTAACTGTATTAAGTTAGCTAAATACATATATGCCTACTTATTCAATAAAAACAGTTAAAGTTTTATAAAAACTTGGCTTTGTCTGAAAAGTGTGTTATCTTTGTCATTTACTACAGAATAAATAAATAAACATAAAATTAGTTTAATTTTTCTAAAAAATAATGTTTTACATAATAAATTATTTATAATTATTACCAACACACAAAAAATCGATTGGTAAATCTAACCAATATAATAATAAAACGATTCCCAACCATTGAATTGTTTATTTTACCAATCAAATAGTTACTCTAACAACAACAAAATGCACACAACTGACCATTTAACAGAATTTTTACTATTAATACCTTTTTTACAGTTAGGTAACTATCCGTATAGGTAAATTTTACCCATCAAATTTTGTGTGTGCGCAATAGAGACCTGCACGAGTAAGAAAAAATATACTCGATTACTACTCGGCAATGATGAGTATTGTATCAGTGTTGTTATTTAAAATATGTTAGTGCTGCAAATAAGTCCACTAAAAAGTACACGGCCGCCAACGCTTTCACCGTTTGTTTAATAACACTATGCAGCATCAAAAATTAACCTCGATGAATGCTATATTTTTGGATTCGTTACGAATTCCCAAGTTAAACTGCGTTTTCCAAAGAGTTCCCCGACGCAAGGATTCTTAGCAAAAGGACCTCAAAGTTCGAAAAATGCTGAAATTGACCAACTTTGCGGAGCTCTCAGAGGCATATGGATGCATGGCTTGGTTCGAAGTTAAAGTTTTTTAAAAGATACACCCTTTATCTTACAAACCCCATACATAAAATAATTTTAGGATTTTTTTTAAGGCAGAAATAAATTCCAAAAAACATAGTTAAAAAACTGAAAAACATACAGCTGCGGTCAAAATAGTAGCAGTGTTGCCGCCTTGTGTTTTTAAAAGTTTGATGTAATTTTTTCTTATCAAATTAGTCTAATAGTAAAATTATAATCAATACAATATTACCAGGAAAAGATCAATTACAACAACAAACTTTTAAATACACAGGGCGGCAACACTACTACCATTTTGACCGCAGCTGTATACTTTTATGTTTTTTGACTATGTTTTCTAGAATTTGTTTCTGCCTTAAAAATATCTTAAAAATTTTTTAAGTATGGGGTTTAAAAGATAAAGGGTGTATATTTTAAAAAACTTTAACATCGAATCAAACCATGCATCCATTTGCCTCTGAGAGCTCCGCAAAGTTGGCCAATTTCAGCATTTTTCGAACTTTGAGGTCCTTTTGCTAAGAATCCTTGCGTCGGGGAACTTTTTGGAAAACGCAGTTTAACTTGGGAATTCGTAACGAATCCAAAAATATAGCATCCATCGAGGTAAATTTAAAAAGCACTAAAAATGCTGCACAGTGTAATTTTCCGATGCTACATTTTTACTCATTAGTAATTATCTGTTACCATCATGGCCATACCAAGATTAGTAATAACTGATTCGATGCTTATATAATCGCATTATTCGTGTGGGTTTTCAGCGCTCTGTTGTCTGTAAGAAAATTGGCAATAATGAAAACATAATTTCCGCTTCCTTGGAGTGTCCTTTAAGCAGGATGTGGCTTTATTGACAGCTAATGCTGGTATGTATGCAAATCAATATGGGTTGGGATGCTCATGCGAACGCATAGGAAAAACTACTTTGGCAGGAAATGCAAACAAGGGATGCTTCACCATCCACACTGAGTGAATTTTCCTCCGGCTTTTGTCTAGTCTCTCGAGTGGCCGCAAGTGCAATCGCAAGGCACTTAAGCCAATGCGTAAACACAGCCATAATCTTGACTGTGGGGCAGCATATTAACGTTTTAAGGCATCATTATCGACTGGGATTCCGGCTCTAGTTGCCAATCATCCGCTGCGTTGGCTTTTTGCCCCCACTCCCCATGGTTTGGCCTACTCACATTCCACGGAGCCCCCTGGAATGCCTACGGCCCGGCAACCCCGCTGGTTGCTACCTCCAGAAGGGACATTAATAGGCCATAAATTGTAACTGTTATGCGCTGCTGCCTTTTAACGCAGCGGTCGACAGACGGCATGACCTCAGTTCTCCGCGTGGAGGTGGGCCACCCATTCGCGCCCCCTCGGCGGCCCCCACCGCTTTCAATTAGAGAGGTTATTTAGCTAAATCGCTACGCTTGTTTCCCGCACCGCTGTTCTGGCGCGTGTTCCAGTAATTCCGAGGCGCGGGCGGAAATGATTGCCGCAGGACCGCAGGACTCTCCAGGACCCCCAGGGAGCAGTCGAGTGGCGTCGGCAGCGGCTTAATTGAGCATTCCGCGAGTGCGGTTGTGCTTCCTCCTCAGGATCAGTCATTCGTCGGGCGTTTATTCATTCATATTTGCACCTTTGCACTGAAAGCAATTTTTTCCGTGTTTTTGAACAATTTTCTTTTTATTTGAATGTTTGTATAAAGTTTCGAATTAAATTTCTCTTGATTTATAATGTTTGAAAACTATACATTACACTACATTTACTACAATATTTTATATACATGTATAATAACCTTTTTAATATATCTTACTTTGATTTCTCGCATTCAAAATATCAATTTTCAATAGAAAATAGAAGGTAAAATAATATGAAATACTGTTATTAGGCAGTAATAAGAGCAGTAAAAAATTCAAACCAACAAAGGAAGTTAATTTATTGGGATAGGTTCTGAACTTCATTTAAATTAGGAGTTCTATAGAACTATAATCCTTATTAAGAAATTTAAAAATAAAATTAAAAGTACAAATTCTTTTAACATTCTGAGTTTTCTTGAGTGTGCCTTAATTTCGACCTTTATTGACCAAGTTTTCCGCCTTTAATTTTCCTACTTCCGCAGTGATGGCTCACACGAAGACGCGTAGAACCTACGGATTTCTGCTGGTGCTCCTGATCCTGGGCAGCGCCTGCGGCAGTTTGGTGGCCAGTGGCAGTGCCGCCAGTGCAGCCTCCAATGAACCAGGAGGCGGCGGCCTCTCCGAACAGGTAATACTGGATCAACTTAGCGAAAGCGACCTGTACGGCAACAACAAGCGCGCCTGGCAGTCGCTGCAGAGTTCGTGGGGCAAGCGGTCGTCCGGCGGAGATTCGGGGGATCCGGACATCTACATGACCGGACACTTTGTGCCACTGGTGATTACCGATGGCACCAACACCATCGATTGGGATACTTTCGAGAGGCTGGCCAGTGGACAAACATCACCGCAGCAACAGCAGCAGCAACAGGTCCAGCAGCAATCGCAGTCTGGCGAGGATTTGGACGAGCTTGGAGGCGAACGGGATGTGGAGAAGCGGGCCTGGAAGAGCATGAACGTGGCCTGGGGAAAGAGGAGGCAGGCGCAGGGCTGGAACAAGTTCAGGGGCGCCTGGGGCAAGCGCGAACCCACCTGGAACAACCTGAAGGGCATGTGGGGCAAGCGCGACCAGTGGCAGAAGCTCCACGGCGGATGGGGCAAACGCTCCCAGTTGCCCAGCAATTAAGCCCGCACAGAACCAGAATCAAAATCGGAACAGGAACAATTAACCAGACTTAATAATCCACCTGTATCTAACCGTATTTAGCATGTGTGTTTCCTCCTCCGGAGGCGTTCCGTTCTCAGTGTCCATGTCGCATTAGGTTGCCCGGAAATTCTCCCGGTCCCCCGAAAGCCACTGAAAGTCAATTCCGAAAATGTATGAAAGCGCTCGCCAGGATGAAGGGATCCTGATGACAAGCGATCCGGATCGCCGTCTCGATCAGCCAGTATTATACGCATTATATCAGTATGTCTAGTCAACTATTCACCCCTAGCACCTAGTTTCCAAGTATACAAGAGGACCTTTCCGAGGAATTCCGCTTTAATTTAGAAACGTTAACTAAGTTAATGAATTGTGCATATACCTTTATACTTAAATATACATCAATACCTACGAAATGGCAACTATCAATATTAAATACAAATACGTTGAAAGTATTAAAAGTGAGTTTCGGTTTGATTGGGTTGGGTCGGATTAATTTAATGAAATAAAGATGATATTTACAGTTTTTGATAAAAGTTCCAGAACCTTGGATTAAGTTTAAAATTAACTACACAGAAAACAAATTGTCAAAAGATTAGATTGATGTGAAGGTAAATTTTTAAAAGACCAAGTTATTCATATATTAAATATTTTTTTTTAGAGCCCTTATTCAATTGTACGAAGATATATTAACAATGATTTGTATTAAATTGTAATTCTTTAGCGGCAGTCACCGGTGCTTGAAAAGTCAAGGGCGTATTAAACGACTAAAGTAAAACCAATTGAAATGATCTTCAAAACTATCAGCCGCAAGGATTTGGCATGTTTCGGCGTGACCTTTTTCGTGCTGTTGGTGTGCTTCACCCTGATCTCAATCTTTTCGGGATTCGAGCACGAGCCCAAGCGATACAAGACGATGATGGTGACCATCATCCTGGTGTTCTTTGTCCAGTACCTCGTCTACGAACCCATCCGGTTCTTGGTGATGGCCATCGATTATGCCACTTGGCCGGAGGAGGATCAGCCCTACAAAGCGGAGACGGGAATGCAAAAGCCGAACCGCATCGCCTATCTAAAGATCAGGCTACGAAGTCTGCGCTCCGAGCTTCTGATCACCGAGGAACACCAAAACGAGCCTCTGAATCGCAGATACAAACATATTACCGGGGACCTTTTGCTCTACGGAACGTATTTCGTGGCCCTCATGTTTGTGGTGGTGATGCAGGAGGACCAGTGTCTTTACTACAATACCAACAACATGCAGCGGCTCTTCATGGAAAATACCTCGTTCACCTACGGCCTGTCGCAAGTATATTTCTTATACCAGGTAGGATATTGGGATTTTTATTTTAAATACCCTTCAAACCAAAATACCTCTTAGCAAGAAAATTTAATGACAATAAAACGGTCAACATAAAACATTGCAGAACGTTTACGAAAACTTCTTAAGATAATAAAAACGAAGGGCGAAAACACTACTACTACTTTGACCCCATCCAATTTTAGAAAGATTAGGTTAGAAAGGTTAGAAAGATAAGGAGTGGCACTTTAAAAAAAAAAAGTAGTAAAAGCCCTTCGTTTTTAAAAGTTTGTTGTTGTAGTTTTTCTTATCCAAAAGTACAATAGAACAGTTTCTATTCAATAAAATATTACCAGAAGAAGCTAAATTACAAAAAATTAAAAAAAAGGGCGGGAAAATTACTTTTATTTTGACCGCAACTGTATGTTTCCCCCTTAAAAGAAATCTTAAAACTATGTTGAGTATGGGACTTCAAAGATAAAAAGTTGAACTTTTAAAATGGTGTCCCCACAACAAACCGAGAATCCGATTGCATGTTAGCCACTGGAAACCTAGCCATTTCTATCATTTCTCAAAATCCTTGCGTCGGGGAATTTTTTGAAGAAGGCAGTTTATTTTGACATGTCGTAACGAATTCAAATTTATCGCATCCAACGAGGTAATTGTAGATGTAACATAATAATACAAATCATAAAATCAAAATGTACCCATATTATATTAGTTGAAGTTAGGAGCTGCAAACTATACTTAAAGCTTTTTCGCCTTCTTCAAGAAAATCCTCAATGTAATCTATCCATTAGATCCACAATTATCTCAAGATTACTATGATCGAGACCTTTTTTTCGCCGAACCTTTACGGTTACGAGGGCTGGTGGGCCATGGAGCAGTGGCAGAAGATCGGGGTGATACGATTGCGGCAGGTTCGTCCAGTGAACTGCCACTACGGACTGGGTCGGCCCAAATGGGACACGGCTACGTATGCGCCCGAGTGGCGCCTTCCCTACCATCGCCTGCATTATACGGACAAGTTCTGGCGCATCTACGACCCCTTCCGACCGTTCGACTTCAAGGTCAGTTTTTTAAATGGCCTGCTGCTAAATTTTGATCACTGGGGCTATATGTTTCATTACCCGGAAACCGCTGGTTACGTGGTAATGCTGATGAGTACAAAGGTAGGGAATATATTAAAATGTAGTATAAATATTTTAAAATGGAATTTCCACTAGGTAAACTGCCTGAAGCAGGTCGATTACCTGAACGCGTACAGTTGGCTGAATAAAAACACCTCGGCTCTGTTCATTGACTTCGCGATGTACAATGCGGATGTGAATGCGTTTACGGTGATCACTTTGCGTCTGGAGAACTCTCCGTTTGGCACCCAGATGCACCGGGTGCATGTGGACACTGTCCAGATGCTGGGCTCTGTGGATACCAGGAGCAATTTAGAGCTTCTCGTCCTGGGCGTGTACGCCATCCTAGTCATCCAGTTCGTCCGCGGAGTTTTTTCGAAGCTCTGGCACGATCCGGCCAGCATCCGTGCGGTCTGGACCATGGTGGACCTCATCATTTGCGCGCTGAATTTCCTCCTGTTGAGCCTGACGATAATACGCGACTTGGAGACGGACGAACTATCAGAAATGATCGAGACGAATACCAGGGACCAGTACCTCGACTTCCAGCGTCCGTTGCGCCTCCACCAAATGTTGGCCATCGTCAAGGGCTTCCTGGTCGCCATCACCACCCTGCGACTGTGGAAGGTACTGCAGTTTGCCGCCGTTTTTCAGCACTTCACGCATACCCTCTTCTCCGCCTGGCGAGCCGTGGCCAGTCTGGGTCTGATCATCCTAGTTCTCCTGATGGGCATGGGCATCGCACTGGCCGTGCCAAATGGCAACAATGCTGAGGTCTTCCATCACATCATCCAGGCTGTTGTAACCTGTTTGTGGTAAGTCCTAACATAAGGTCCAATCAGCACTAATACTCTCCGAAACTTACGATTAGTTGTAGACCTTAAAAACTAATAGTGTTGGCGGAAGTACTTATCCCCAATCAAATTTATTTTCTTATATACTTATCAATAATATCTTCTGCAACTTTATCGACTTTTCTTTAAAAAAAAAAGTACTTCATAAAAGAATACCTTAATATTGGTGATAAATTAGAAACAAGTAGATAATAGCGATATAGTAATAAGTAGATAACATATATATTCTTGAAAGTTATTTTGTGATTAAAATAATAATTTAATATTATTTTCTGTTCATTAAAAACCTAAATACGAATCATCACTATCACCTTTAATAAGTAAATAAATCTAAAATATTTAATCCAGGTACTCAGTCGGCTTTAGTGCGGGCATTAAGCCTAACGATTTCTTCCACGGAGGACGCATACTAGGGATTCTTCTTTACATGGTGCTAGTCTTTCTGCTCGCGATCGTCCTGATGAATGTGTTCGCATCCGTTATTTACGACTACTTTAATGAGACGGGACGCGACTTGAAGGAGCAGGCGGGCAAGTCGCAAATCTCCTTTTGGGAGTTCCTACGCGTCGAGTACTCGGATTCCACGGCAGGATTTGCCCGATACTTCCGTTGCATGACAAAAAAATACAGGCCGCATGGTCGCACAGTTGCACAGAATGTGGAACTGGAGCTCACGAGACAGGAGGAAGCTAGGTTGCAAAAACGCAATTTCCAAGAGCCCATCATCCCCGAAGAGGATAAGCATGGAGATTACCTGAGACGCGGCAAGCGAATGTTCAAGCTCATGGCCATTCTGGACGTCCAGGTGGAGATCCTGGAGCGTTTGGTGCTGGGCGATGCGGATGGTAATCTGCCCTCACCTGATGTATCCGATTCTGATCCCGAGGATATGCCTGAAATGTATCGCAAGCAACCTGTTAAACTGAGGCCAAGCATATAGTTACCTAGTTAAACGGATCTTTTTTCAAGAAATAGCTTTGTACTATTATTATTTTCTTGTTTTGCAGTTTTTTCTAGTTTTCTTCAAATTATGCAACAAACAAAATACAGTAACAATGAAAATGTATTTAGATTTATTACTGTTATTTATTTTACGTTTTATTTTTAGTTAAGAAATTTTCAATTATGGAATATCCAACATATGTCGTTGAACCTTATGTTAAAGATTCCTATAGATAAGATCCATAAAACAAGAAACGATGATTTAAATATTTCTGTGTTCTTCCAGTCAGTGCTGCCATTTTGTCCTCTTTCCGGACAGATCTGTCCTTTTTTTAACGGGTTTATCCGGAAAAAATTTCAAACTTCCCCTATCCGGAAATCTGTCCTTTTTTCAAAAATAAGGTCTTGAGTGTTATTTTTGCCAGTCGAAAGTGTGTAAACCTGTTTTTATATGCTAAAACGCCTTTTTAACCATCAATCTTACAGCTCGGCACTTAAAAAATAATTATTTTTACAAATTATCAAAGAGACGTAAAGCAGTCGATGGATTTTCTATATAGTACGATTTTTTCTGTAGCAAATAAAGAGGAAAACACTTTAAAAATTTCTCAATTTTTACTCTCTGCTTTTTTGTCAGAAAAAAATTTCAGATTTTAACGACTCTTATTCGGGTTTGACGCAGATATGGCATTTTTTTGTATTACCAATATAGTTACTTGAAATGCTTTTATTATTTTAATAATTTTAGATTATTACGTATACGCACAAAAATTAACCATGGTAAAATGATCAAACAAAGAAGGATGTGAGTCGGGCGCAGTAGGTCATTACATAATTGAATTTAATATAAAATCCATTTAAGTTAAGTAATTATATAACCCATTGGTAAAACAGAAAAATGGAGGCGCATTTACTTTTGTCCCTTTTTTTGTCCTTTTTTAAAATTTTTTGTCCTTTTTTTCCCTGTTTTTTTTGGCTTATCTGTCCTGTTTTTCAAGCTGAGTGATGGCAGCACTGCTTCCAGTAGTCTTTATTTGTTTAAAACAAGAAAGGAAGGTACCTTCGGCCAGCCGAAGCTTATATACCCTTGCAGATAAAGTAATGCTCACTCGGTGCAGTTCCAGAGATTCCAGATTCAGCGTTTCTATTTATTTAAATTTTATTTTTAAGTAGTCAAGAATCAAAACGCCTGCTTCCTACAAAGTTACAATGAATTTTCTTATATTTGTTTGAATATTCCTATGGGAGCCTTAAGATATAGTGGTCTGATCCGGCTCGCTCCGACACATGTACTACCTGCAATAGAAAGAAGACTTTCGGGAAAGTTTCATCGCGATAGCTTTAAAACTGAGAGACTAGTTCGCATAAAAACGGACAGACGGACAGACGGACAGACGGACATGGCTAGATGGACTCGGCTATTGGTGCTGATCAAGAATATATATACTTTATGTGGTCGGAAACGTCTCCTTCACTGCGTTGCAAACATCTGACTGAAATTATAATACCCTCTACAAGGGTATAAAAATAAATTATCTTCAAGATACTGTTAGATTGCGTCATTCCAGTATTCCACCAGTTCTTTAAAGCATTTTCCTTAGACTGAACTTTCTTTTAAACCAAAGTGAACTTTTCCATACCCTCACCACCTCACCTCCGATCATTCCCCTTGGCTGAGCGCACCCACGTCTGAAATAAGCAGCGATAAATGATTTAATTAAACGCAGATTGTGTCTTTTTTCCCGGGGGCGTGAATAACTCCACTAATTTCGGTTTGCTCACCTGGCCGGAGGTTACAAATTTTTGGGTACGCACGCTTTATTTCAATAAGCCCAGAGAGGGACAAATTGGCAACTACATGCCTGCTGATCCACCTGATGAAATGAAATGCCTGACGAAAGAGTGTGGAAAGAACTCTGCGAGCAAATATATTGAAGAGCTCCCAAGCTGGCGAAACTAATCGCTCCCGAAACGCACAGCAGACGTCTCAATGCCAGCAACCAAGCGGCGACGGCAATCGCGGTTTGAAATTTGAAATTGTCTGACTGCAATTTGTCGCCACCACTTGTAATACCACCCACTCCAGGTGACGACACACAAGTCTGGGTCTGGGACCCTTATAAAACCGCCCGATCTGCAGGCGGCGCACTCAGTTGAAATGTTCGCGATCAAAGGGAAGCTACTCCCGGCCTTTGGCCTTTGCCTCGGTCTTTTTATAACCCTCACAGCCGCTCAAGCACAAAATTCCTCAAAGGAATCGGAATCCTGGAAGCCCATGCAACCGCAGAAACGGCAGGCTATCGTGAAATTGGATCCCCTGGGCTCTGCAGCAGCCAAGAGCTACGATCCTCCGCCGGAATTTTACCGGGGACCGGGTTCATCGACCTCCAAGTTGGACAGCACAGCAGCTGGCTTTATATCAAAACCGATTAGTTCGCTGCCTCCAGCAGGAGGAGGAGGTCATATAGGTTATGGTGGTGCCCAAACCAGCAGCCTAAATGAGAATCTCAGCGAGGCCTACGACAAATGGAGGTTGGGTGGAAATATTCACGATCGGATCAGCGTGGGTGAGTTCACAAGTACATTTATGACTAAAGCTCGATATCAAGTTAATGAGAAAATACGTACACCCAAAAAAAAATCGATATGAAACTTAGATCGATTTTACATTATTTAAGATCAATTTTAGTTTGATATGTGGCCAGGTAAATTTGACCTGGTCGAAAAGAGTATTTAATGTAAAAACTATATGGGTTTTCCATGACCTGAAATTTACTGAAAAATGTTTTTTTTTTTTGTGTAGAACTGATATATTGTAATCTCTATTTTATAATAAATTCTTTATGCAGGTCATTATGCCAGCAGTGGAAGTGGTGGCAAGAGCTACGGCTATGAAAGTCATCCATATCCGTACGACTACGGATCCTCTAACGGACATGGCTACGACCAGGGACCTGCTCCTGGACATGGTTACTCCTCCAGCGGCGAGGCGGGAGTGCCCTACCACGTTTATAGACCCCGACCGGAGCCGGGTCACTACCCTGGGCCACCTGTGGACTACTCCTACAGCTCGTATCCCATAGATTCTCACGAGATCGTCTCCCACAAGGGATCGCCGGAGCTCTCGCCCAAAGCCCTGCTGGCCAAGAGCTTCCTCATCCCGCTGGCCAGTGCCACCGTTCTGGGCATCGCCGCTGCCCTGATCAGTAATCCTCTCCTGCTGCAACTGGCTCCCGTTCCCGGAATTGGAGTGGGAGTGGGAGTCGGACCTTCAGTCGTCGGCAAGCGGAGAAGGAGAAGACAAGCTGGGAAGCGGGTTCTGAGATCGGGGGAAACCCAAGTACCGAACTGAACTCTTTATCGCCGAGTTCTTTCATTCCTAAATGTTTATAAATCAGGAAATATTTAAATAAAGTTTTAAACATGTTTTTATTTAAAAGTGCTCGAGTTAATTAATTAAGATCAAAGATAGATATTTAATGATATTAAAGATATTTGCAAACTTTAACATCACGAACATCAAACGGTAAACACGTTCCTAAGTTTTGTTTTTTAAATTTAATGTAATGCACTTGTAAGTACAGATTTAATTGCGTACCTCATTGTTGAAACACCCTAATATAGTACTTGTACTTGTTATTTTGCAAAAGCGATACATATAGCTTCCAGCAATATCAGCAGTTCTACAGGGCTCTTCAAGAATCGGAAAATAAATCCAGAATCAGTGCATCACAAGCCTTTGTCTCGGCTGTTCGTTGTCAATATGTTCAAGTCTTTGAGTTTTATTCTCTTGACATTCCTTTCGTTTAATCTCTGCGGGTCCTACGCGAAAGGTCAGGGAGAAGGCCGATCCGTATGCCTACTTCACGACCCGCCAAATCAGTGTGGAGAATTCTGCCTTGAGGCATTGAAGCCAATGCTCGATCACATAGCTTTTCACCAGAAGGAGTGGAGCACCTGCGGTCCCCAGAAACTTAATGAGACTCTGGAAAAATTGGACTCAATCAAGGATCAACAAAAGGCGCTGAAGGATTACCTATCAAGACTAGAGCAAAAGGAGGCTTCCTTGGAGACGAAACTTGATCGCATTGAACAACAATTGTCAGCCCTGCAGGAGACACTGTCGAAACCTAACAACACTAAAGTATCTCCCCTATTTGTGCGGATAGGACAAAGGTTAATTTACGTCGAAAAAAGAATTCGTCGAAGCTGGCAAGGCGCCGAAGAAACCTGCCTTCAGATGGGCGGTCACCTAGCGACCATCCAGGACAGTTTGGAGCTAAATGCTATCGGAGAACAGCTGGAGAGGAGTACCAGCTACTGGCTGGGCATCTCCGACATCGCCAAGGAGGGGGAGTTTGTGTCCGTAGCCTCTGGCAAACCCGCAACCTTTTTCAGGTGGAAGAGGGGACAACCCAACAACTTGAATGGCAATGATCACTGTGTGGATATGTATAATAGCGAAATGTACGATAGCGAGTGTACTGAAACCGAATATTTTATTTGCGAGGCTGTTGGTTAAGTGAAATTAAAACATTGTAGCTAATATGTTATCAAACGATCTAATATCAGTTTTTGTATTATTATTGTAAAAATATGAATATTAATTATTCACTCCTTACAGAACGGTTTAAATAAGTATTACGTATTATTTAGCAAGTTCACATAGTAAAAGAAAATTCATTTATTATCGAGCTTTTACTTTCATCAGCAAATGTTTTGCCGAGACAGCAACAATATATTGATAGAATGGTTTTTATGACACAATCGAAAAATAATTAAATAATGATTTTTTTTTATTAACTTAATAAGATAATCCACTAACACACTATTAAAATTACGATTTATGTGCAAACGAAACGAAACTGTTTATATACCTATACAGGGAACCAATGGCATATCACCTTTACTTTAGCGCTTAATAATTATCATCATTGCATGTAATTCTTGTCCAAAGTCAAACAAAGCCATCAATTAGGAAAACAGTTAATTTATAGAAAACCTCAGATAGTTTACACACAGCCCTGCAACTTAGGGCACTGACCTCCAAATGCGAACTATCTACTCAGTGACGACCAGGCCAGGGAGAGGAAGTTTTTCTTGGTGATTAATGATCATTGATCAATACAAAAGAACGCTGACGGTTCATGAATTATTTCAATGTTTTTTGTTTAATATCAATCTCTTTTTCAAATATTTCAATCCAACTACAATTCCATCATAAGTGGACGCAAGCGAAGTTTTCGAGGGGAACTTGGTTTGAATGGATGGGGGGATGAGTTGTTTTTGCAATAACCTTACAGTGAGTGATTAGTCGACCGCGGTTCAACCCGGCTCGTTGGTCTAGAGGTATGATTCTCGCTTCGGGTGCGAGAGGTCCCGGGTTCAATTCCCGGACGAGCCCAAGTGAAAAAAAAATTTTTTTTTTGTTTAAACTTATATAAAAATGTAAACAAAAATTATATTTTCATTAACATGAACAATATAAATTAATTTTTTTAATAACTCTGAAGTTAATGGTTTTTTTCATCTACTAATATTGTCTATAAATTTAGCATTTTGATTGCTAGTATTAGTGTCTTATTTATTTGGATTTTTCGGTTGTCAAATCAATTTAGAAAACAGCTATTTTTGACTGCAGCAACGCAACAAATAGCCATAAAGCTACCTAAAACTGCAACACTGGTCAAATTAAATATCTACACCACTTGTCGTGCATTTTACACGACTTCTCTACACGCCACCGAATAGCGCCATCTATTTAACGAATTTGATTATAGCCTGTTCAGACAGCGCACAGTGGGGCGAAAAAGCCAAAAGTCTGCCTTAAATCAGCGGAGCCCTATAGCGAATATTTTTGATGGGACATTCTTAAAGGCAATTAAATATGTAAAAAAACATCATAAGGTGCATTTTTTTAGTGCAATTTTTTTGTTGTAGAAAATGTTTAAGAAAAAAAATAGTTTTTTTAAGAAAATAAATATAAACAAATTAGTTATAGGGTTCTAAGTTTCCCAATATTTTTTTTAAATTTAACTTGATTTTTGAAAAAAAAAATTATTCAAATCGGTCAACTATAACTTATAGCTGCCATATAAACGCTTATTACAAAGGAGAATGTCTCGGTTCTATTTCAATATTGGTTCATATAAATTGGGATTAAGGCATTATTTATCATTTTAGCTCTATGCTTACCTTGGCTGACGATATTTCAAATTATGAACATTTCTTGCTAACTTAAACTGCGGTTTTCTCAGAAGAGGCGCAAAAGGGCAGGCTAATTTTTCATAAAATGTAGTTAAATATCTAAACTTTTATTAAAAAAAAAGAATTAAACGGGGATCTAGGGTGTAACACTACTTTGCGTCCAAAAATATCCAAAAAATCCCAATTTTTTTAAACCTCTTTTAAAAAATTAAAAAAAAATAGTAATTATGTATCTAAAATTTTTATTGTTTTTTTTAATATTTTAAGAATTGGTTGCTCTTAAAATTTCAATCGTTACATATACAACTTGGGCCCTTGGGCGCTTTCAGAAAAATTTCAAAGATGTGTAAAAATACCTTTTTTTCTTATTGGCTAAAATTATGTTTCGAAAAATCCACTTTATAAATCTGTAGTGGGAGAACCATTCATCACAGATCACTCTTTCCTTTTGATTTGTATAGAGAATTCAATTGTTTTTAAAGTTGCATTGCAACATTTTGGAAAATCTTAAAAAAAAAACCATTTTGGCAAGCTTTTTGTTTTAGGCGCCCGACAGTGCAGCGTTTTCATTAGCAAGAAATACATGCTAAGAAAATCTACTAGTCTTTTACCAAAACATTCCAGAACTCGCCGGAAATATCTCGTATTCGTTTATCACTTAAGCTTCATATTTGACCGCTAAATAAAATAAATAAATAAAAAGCAACAACAAAGAAAATTAAAAAACAAAACGTGCAAATAAAAACAAAGAATTTTTTTTTTGTTTTTTTTAATTTGTATCATCGATTGTATTACATTACGATGGACGGATGACTCTTGTTAAAACTCCTTGTTTTCCTGAAAACGCTTTTTTTCGCTTTCGCGAAATTCGCGTCGTGCTGCCGGCGGAGCACCTTGAGGATTACGAATTATGAAAGCCTTCTCGCAGTATGTGCTCGGATTATATGTTGGAGCTGGCGGCTCAGAGTCCCAGTCCTCTGAGCATTCCACAGTAAAATTACATGGTTGCGGCTCCACGGGGGGCAACTTGTCCGGCAGCTTATAGCGCTCTAGCGCAGACCGATCGGGACAGTCGATGACATGAGTCTGCAAAATCGGGTAACTAAGTACCTTTGTTAGCTTCCGATAATAGTTTTGTTAAATACTCACCTGCATGTCGCCCACAGAGTGCAAATGGCAAGAATTAAATGGGCATCGAACCATCTTTGATGCTTGGAAATTCTTAGCACACCGTGTGAGATGGTAAGATAGCCTCACCGGCATAATGCGGTGAGCGCTATCGAAGGGACAAACAATGTACTCTTCAAAATTCGGGGAATATCTTGGACCAGCCATTTTACGACTTTATTTTTTTAGTGGATTAATAAATCCTTTTTTTAAGTTTAGGCTTCCAATCGTCCAGCTTCTATCACAAAACAGATTGTGAAAAAGCACGCCGATTTTGTGGTATTTTAAGTTCCAGCATACAGTACTCATAAGAAGTACATGTGCTAGAAAGAGACGTATAGAACTAGCTTTAGCGAAAAGGTTAACCTAACCTTAAATGCGGTATTTTAGTATTTTAAATGTATTTGGCGTTTTGACATTTCTTTGGAAATTACAGTACTAACTCCTACTCCTAGTACGTGCATTATATTCGCTGTAATATTTACATAGGCAATTATTTAAGAATTTAGTAGGCATATCAAAAAAAACTTTTGCTTTAAATTTGTAAGGAGCTTTGAATAATTAATGGTTTGCATGTTGGAGGGAGTGCCTTTGTAGCTGTTCTTCTATTTTTAAGCTTTTTTACAAACATGATATTTAATTTAATTTATTGTGGTAAAGTTAACATTAAATTAGCAGGGAAGTGTTAACAGAGATATTATCGATAGAATCCGTTTGGTATATTTTCGGTATTTCTTGTGACACAGGGTGGTTCGGGCCGCAATCACAAAACGGTTCCACAGGGCGCTTTGTGCAGTAGCAACAGAACCACCGCCAATTTCCCGGCATTTTCGCCATTTCCAGACATTTTCTCATAGTACACTCGCCAGCAGACCATGAATTTCACCAGGAGTAATTGGTGAGTGGGCGAAACAAACCCGAAATTCATAAAACTAACCATGCAACTCCCACAGCTCGCCGCTGAGCAAAAATCCGGTGGTGCAGCGCAGCCTGGACTTGCGATTGCGGGGCGCCCAGGCGCGGCATTACCTCAAGTGGTGCTCCATAAACGTGCTGCTCCTGTCGCTGCTCCTCTTCGACATCTGGCAGGCATGTCGATCAGTGTACAGGACCTACTGGTTCCTGGCCGAGTGCACCATCACCAGCCTGATAGCCCTGAGTGCGCTGGCCTGTTTCGGCAAGTATTTGTGGTTATGGTTTGGCGGGGACCAGGTGATGGGAACCGATACCCAGAAGTGCCTGCTGGACGGCAAGGAAGGTGAGGATGCCTGAGGTAGTTCAACCTAAACATATCTAATATATGCTCTTCCCACAGACAACTCCTTTAGGACCGTCTGCGCCCGGGCCGTGATGAAACCCCGCAGCTATGAGCCCGACACCGATGTGGAGGACGACATACCCATTATCAACTGGCACTCATCGTTCGAGGACTCCTGCTGGGGCTCGCAGTCCATGCGCCGCAGTCCCAGTCCCACGAGAACTCCCCAGCAGACCAACCAGACGAACGCCTCCTACAACTCATCGATGGTGCAGAACAACTCGCTGAATGCCAGCAACCTGAGCAACGAGTCCAACTACATGTCGCCGTATGCGGAGGTCCGGCGGGATGACTTCATCACCGACATCCGCAAGTTGCCCGCTCTGATGAAGCAGGCGGAACGCGAGCGCAGCATGGTCGACAGCTCTGAAGCTCCCAATGTCCAGAACATGGGCTCGGCCAACTCGTTCTGGAACTACTGCAACAATGCGGCCTACATGCTGAAAACCACCATTTACCAGCTGTCGCCCGCGCCTGCCGTTTCCACCGAGAATGCTCCAACATCGATTGAGGAGTTCGGTGGCTTCCAGTTCAGGGACAGCAATTCGGAGGTCATCAAGCGCATCTCCACCGACAAACTGTCGCAATACGTGGCCAACCTGAGATTTGTAAGCAGCCTGCTTGAGTTTCCTCTGCAAAATAATAAATGTTATACTTTCTGCAGTGGATTTCAACCACCATTCTGCAGCGTTTGGTCAAGGAGATCAACTATGTGGACGATGTGTTCCGCCAGCGGGGTCTGATTGACCTAAAGATCGGTGCTGTGAGTCTGGAGAGGCTACGCAAGACGGCGGAGAACCAGCAATTTGTGCAGACCTGTGCCCCCATGCTGCCTATGCTCTTGCCCTTCCTGGACACCTTTAATAATCAGGAGTACCTGGTGCAGCGCATCAAGGAGCTGTCGCAGGGCTCCTGCATAGCCGACTACCGCTGGAACTCGGGCAAGACGCACAATGGTCAGGAGTGGGGCGAGCACTTGCCCACCGATGCAGCTGTAAGAAGTTCTTCTTGATAAAGTATGCAAATTTCTGATTACATTTATGCCTTTTTTCCAGATATTGTTCCACTTGTTTTGCGTCTACTTGGATAGCCAACTGATGCCGTTGCCGCAGGGCGGCGGGCGACCCTTCCATTCCCGCTACGTTCTGATCCGCGACGAGAAGCGCTCCACAAAGGACGTGGTGAACGCCGTGCACAACAAGGCCCACTGCGCCATTCTGACCACCAGCAACCAGCTGAACCCCAAGTTCAACTTTATCAGCGACAAGGAGCTGCACAATTGCGTGTACGACAGGAACAACCTGTTCTACGTGATCATTCAGTTCCTGATCTACATGCGCCAGCAGCAGGAATCGGCGCTGGAGTGCGTCAATCTGGGCAAGAGCGGCATCAACATTATGTGCGTCATCGAAGACTGAGCTGGCCGCTAATCGGGATACCTGGCTATGACTACTTATAACTATAACTCTAAAAACACACTCGTTACTTCTAAGCATATGTCCCGGACTCGACTATTCCCCATCATTCGTTACTATTAAATTATGCATTTGTAATTATTAAGTTGACATACGACTGTTGTGGTTTCGCGGTTATCAGGTGTCGTGTGCCTGCGGTCTGTGCAATTAACTGGTTTGGAAGTCAGGCGGCAAGATATACTCGTGGACACAGGTGCCCCACTTTAATTGCCCTTTCATGATTCTCACTATTGCCCAGCCAGTTTGGTGACCTGGTCAATGGCCCGGCCTGCAACTCCCACATGCTCGCCACTTCACACTTCCGAAAGTGACAAAATTAATGGTTTCCGCCGACGCTGTCGACATTTTGTCGAGTGAGAGACATTGAGAAAATGCTCCAAAGTAGTGCGAAATGAAGGAGTCGCAAGGAGCAGCAGGATGGGCCCTCTCGACCAGCCGCATTACCATTTCTCTTGGCCATGCTCATTTCTGGGCTCTGGCTTGACGTTGAATCGGTTGGCTGGTTATTTTAATGCTACCCCCGCTCCCGGATGGTTGGATATGGCTGGCACCTCGGGTGAGTAATGTGCCTGGGTTGTCAACTTTACACTTTTATCCCCTCGCATTATATTTGCTTTACCTACACCGCCACCCAACTTAACGCCCTGTGTGTGTGGTGTGATATGTTTTCCTGATACTTTTTCCCAAGTTGTAAATTGGCTTAAAAATAATTTGTCAAAGCATTTCAGCCGGCGGAGATGCGATGCCTAAAATGGGAATTGGAGTTGGAACTTGGAGCGCGGAGCCGGGCTGCTTGTCTCGAGCCATTTTCTTGTCACAATATTTGGACCCTCGGCTGATGGAGTGAAATTCCTTTAAAGAAACGCATGTGCGCGTCTTCATATCCAATTAGAAAAGTTTTCCTTCGACTGCTCCGTAATTGTGTTGATTAGTGCGGCTCGCTGGGTAGCTCTCGAGTGGGTGGTTGCTGGGTTTTGGCTGGATTCTCCTCCTAATGCCCCGCCGTTGACAAAAGAAGCCTTCTCGGATGGCTGGGGGGATTGTGTGTCCCCAGCTGTTGGCACTTTAAAAAGAAATGCGCATTAAATTCGATTGGCAATCGTCTCACACTCTTTCTTTACGGCTTACACAAATTTTCATCTAATATCGCTTTGAAGCAGCTTAACTATCCTTGAGATGAGGACGTCTCGGGGCGTGGAATGATGGCGATAGACGGTCTATGGGGGACTTCTAAGTGGAACACTTGTCGGTTAATGAAGGGAAAAGTGACGGAAGGTGTGAAAAATTCAATGACTTTAGCATTTTGTTAGTTCCGAACATTTTACTACTATTTTACTAAAAATATCCATTATATGTTATTAAAACTATTCAATAAATTTGTGTATAATCATTATTATGTGGAATCTCGCAAAAAAATTAATTTAAAGTTTTTTGACTTTTGGGCTTTGCGAATCTACATATGTATGCATTTAAGTTTGTTTAAATTCCTAATAGTAAGAAAATGGTACTTTCAGATTAAATCCGTCATTTATTTTTGGACGTACACTAAAAGACAGCTTTAACTAAAAATCTAAAATTCGTTAAGCTTTTAAAATTAAAAATTTTAAATCGATTTAAATGTAAAAAACCCCATAATTTGTAATTAAAACTATTTATTAAATTTTTACATTTAATTTAATTTAATTATTTGTGAATGTACATATGAATGCATTTAAGTTTGTTTAAAATTTTTAAAAGGTTAATAGTACAAATATAAAGAATCAACATTTTATTTTAAAATTTTCGTAAAAAGCTTTATACAAACACGTATCACATCAGATCAAGGGAATTTAAATGCATTTTTGATGCAATAAAATTGTGGAAAACATTAAAGGAGCCACTCTTCATTTTAATTTCATTGAGCCCCATAAAGCCCGATCAAACTGCAGGCAGTGAAACTATTAAAATGATTTTATTATTCCACCTCCGCATGTCGGCCAGCCACTCACTTAGCCACCAAACTGGATCCGTTGGCCCGGTCAACCAAATATTGACACACAATAAGCCGGTAGCAGTCGGAGCGGAGCTTTTACTTTTCGGCTTTCCTTTTTGGCTCCGCTTATTTATTTATTTTGCCATCTACTCCGTTGGGGAATGGGACATTAATGAAAAAAATATTTTTGCCCATTATGCGCCAATATGGTCAGCCATATTTCGGTTTATTTAATTTTGCGCAAATAAAACGGAAGTGGCGTTTTTATTTTCCCCGTCGTCTAGTGTCCTTTTATTTTTTCGGGATTGGGGGATGTGGCGCAGGAGCAGGAATATGCGCTACATAAAATCCTGATGCTGATGCTGATGCCTTGCGACAATGTTCAGATACTGGGGATGCGTGGATGTTGGCTGGGAATTTTTTTTAGCGCATATTTTAAGCAAGCAATTTGTGTAGCTCCAGTTTAAAGAGTCCTCGCTGGCGC